TGCAGGCGGTTCTACTAGGTGACTATTGGGGTCCCTTCCAACTCTACAAGTCTGTGATTCTATGAAGTTATTCATATTAACTGAAAGCTAGGGTTGATTTCGAATTATCAGGCTTATGTGCCCGCTCATTTATCTACCCAATCGACTGTTTTATGTTAAAATCCTTAAGCAGTTTACAAAATAAAAGCATACATTCAAGTCTAGAATACAAACACAACTTTAAAAGTCAGTATCAAAATGCTAAACTAAAAATTTAGCAGTGCAATCTAAAAAAAATAGCAGCCAGCAATACTTCCTGCTTAGTGTTAATGAGGAAGGGTGCCCTCTGGTGGGAAAGCTCCCCACTGCACGTGTGAGAGTGAATGTTTTCCTTTTCAGCTATGATAGCAGCAGTGTCTTGATGAGGGTGGCTTAATGAATGTTTAAAGGTAAAGGTAAAGGACCCCTGACCGTTAGGTCCAGTCGCGGATGACTCTGGGGTTGCGGCGCTCATTTATTGGCCGAGGGAGCCGGCGTACAGCTTCCGGGTCATGTGGCCAGCATGACTTAAGCCATTTCTGGAGAAACCAGAGCAGCGCACGGAAATGGCGTTTACCTTCCTGCTGGAGCGGTACCTATTTATCTACTTGCACTTTGACGTGCTTTTGAACTGCTAGGTTGGCAGGAGCTGGGACCGAGCAACGGGAGCTCACCCCATCACGGGGATCCGAACCGCCAACCTCCTGATCAGCAAGCCCAAGAGGCTCAGTGGTTTAGACCGCAGCGCCACCCGCATCCCTAATGGGTGTTGTGCTTCATCTGGAACACAGGGGGACCACCAAGAGTAGCCTGCTAGTGGCGGTGTCACCATCTTGTACCTGACGGATGAGCAGCTCAGCTTGAGCTGGCAACTGAAGTCTCGCCCTCCGGTCTTCCACAGTGGTAGATCTGAAGGACAGCAGAGGGAAGGGCAGAAGTTGTCTCTTTTGGCAAGCTACCATGTTAACATTCTCTGCATCTTGCTATAAAAGACCCAAGTTCTGAAAATGGCGCTGTGAACAGCTCCCCTCTTCGCTCTCTGCAAAAATCAGCTCGTAAGTAGCCAAATTATCGGTCTGCCTGGACTTTAACAGGGATTTAAGAAATTTCTTATCTTAGATTTCTATCCCCTTAACAAGATGTCCCCTAAAAGACCACCTGCTGCATCTGCCTGTGTCTCACCCTCCTCGATTTGCAATCAATCAGTCTCGGCTGAGCAGGGGAACATGGCCCTGGAGACAACTTCTTCAGATGAACTTGGGTCAGCTTCAACTTTTGAAGAGAACTTAAGAACCATTAGGGAGAACATCTCCGCGCTTCAAGGTGCTGCCCATTTTAGAGCAGACATTTCTGGGATAAAGGAAGATCCAAAACAAACAAATGAAGAAGTCGGTTCTTCTGAAAAACACCTGACTTTCCAAGAGACCATTTCTCGGGCAAGTTACAACATTCTAGACAAGAGGACAACATTCCTTATAAACCAGATGCATAGATGCAATCTTCATATAATTGACATTAGAAAAATTCGGTATGAAGAAAACCGCTCTGTGTTTATGGTGAATTTCCTTAAAAAAACTTTTATCTTTGGGGGAAGTTTTCCCACTTGAAATAGACCAGGTCACTGTAATTCCAATACTGAAAAGGAGTTCTTCATCTCCCTCCAGCATTGTGATACTTCTTCACACTGAAAAGAGAGACGTGATTCTAATTTTTGTTGTTCTGGGCATATCGCCAAGAAGCAGATAACACTCAGCTAAATCGTCCATATAACAATACGCAGAACTCAGCCAAACTACTGCAGTATTAGGTTATAATGAAGGATTTTCCTCACCCCCTCTCTTTCTTGCCATGAATGTAAATTGTTAGGCTCACTTCTTCATCATTTTATTTGGACACCTGCAAAATATTTTTAAATGGCTTTTCTTTCCCCCTTTTTCCTATTTCTCTTTTCTCCATCCCCTTTTTCTCTTTTTACCATGAATATTTTTTGCTTTTTAATTTTTTTTAATGATTGAGTTCTAATTCCATTGTCAAGAATAGAGGGATTTCATAAGCCTGATTCAAGTAGAAAGTTTTTTTAAAAAATTCTCCTTTTGTCTTCCTTTTTCTCGTTCTGCTTTATTTACTTTTAATTTTTTTTAAGTATGCTGTGAGTTTTACTTTTTAAAACATTACCTTTTTTCTTTTTTTTAATTCACACAAGCATTTTTTAAAAAAAATATTTTATTGTTTAAGATTTACTCTCAATTTGGGAAATAGAGCACACATATATTTAATAGAATCAAATTCATATGACAAGTTTAGTGACTGCGTGATTCTTGAACTTAGACTTTTTAGGGATTATAATAAAGGTTTGAATGTAGAAAATATTAAAACTGAATCTTAGTCTATAAGGTTAAATTGTTAAATGAAGAAATAATGGAAGAACATTGATAAAGGAGTTTAAACTATTTTGAAGACAGTTAGTCGATGTTAAAGGGCTGTGAGAATCCAAGAAACAAAGGATAATGTTAACATATTTGAAATTGATGGGAGCTGACATAGCTTATTTACAAGAGACACGTTCAATTGAACAGGATACATTCTCATTATTGAAAGACTGGGTGAGGCAGGTACACCTTGCAGGGACTTTAACAAAACATTGGCTCTTCAGCATTTGTCATCATTACCAGCAATGTTGTGTGAACATTGAGTAGGGGGAGAACACGCAATTTATTAATTTTCAAAATGTACTTTATTACAGTGGTGCCTCACAAGACGAAATTAATCCGTTCCGCGAGTCTTGTCTTGCGGTTTTTTCGTCTTGCGAAGCACGGCTATTAGCGGCTTAGTGGCTATTAACGGCTTAGCGGCTTTAAGAAAAAGGAAACAAACTCGCAAGAACTCGCAAGACATTTCGTCTTGCGAAGCAAGCCCATAGGGAAATTCGTCTTGTGGAACGACTCAAAAAACGGAAAACCCTTTCGTCTAGCGAGTTTTTCGTCTTGCAAGGCATTCGTCTTGCGGGGCACCACTGTATGTCTTTTCTTCAAATGTTTATATCCTGTCTTTCTGCCTGACAGTAGGACTCCGAGGCAACTGACAGTCAGTGAAAATGAATATAACATAAGGATTTGGGTTTTTTTAAGGCAGTGATGACTTAGGTGGGCTCTGAGAAGATTAGGACAGGAAACGTTATTATTTCATTTGTGATGAAAATAGAATTTGGATTTTGTCTCTGTGAAGTCAAGAGCTACACTTCTGTAGTTCAGAAAACTGCCTCAAGTTCAGGCATCGGTCTCCGTTGCTGCAGCTAATGCCCCGCTCCTCAATCCATTGTGTCCCCACCCCCACCCCCCAATTCACAAGTTAAGTTTCAGGAAAGGGACTAATGGGAGGACTCTGGGCCGTCTTTACCTGGGGGTGCAAGCGGTGTGGGGCACCCGGGCGCCAAAATCTGTGGGGTGCCAGGCGCCCACCCCTGAAGCCGCCTAAGCTATCTACCTGTTATGAAATAATAAATAATTTTGATCAAGCTAGAAAAACAAAATACATATATACCTAGGTATTTCACTAAAGGGCATTTGACCAAATTTAGCTGTGATCTCTCAAGAGCTAGCTTAACCTATAGACGTTGAGTCTTGCAGGTGGCTAGAAGGTACCTTGGAAGATCTCCACCATATTGAAATAAAATGGCAGTTGGTCTCCAAACATTTGATGAAGAGCATCGCCCTCCACTTGGGAAGCCTAGTGCCAAAACAATACCTCAAGAGGCAGCTGAACCTAAGCCAAAAAATGGGCAAAGTCACCCAAAGTGACATTTCGGTTGACCATCTTGATTCAAAATGGCAGCCAGTGTCCCAACAAACACCCACTTCCAGAACACCCTTGCCAAATTTAGCTGTGATCTCTCAAGAGCTGGTTTAACCTATAGAAAACAAAGAAATGGACGGACAGACAAATCATTTTCCAAAATATATCGTATATTTAAAAACCAGTTCGCAATGTCTCATCTCTTTCCAGTGTCACCCAAAGCAGAACCCGGGACTGGGCTATGCTTACAAGAGCAGTCTTGATTCTCAGCGGCTGAAACCAGGGCCATCTTTTCCTAGGGGTGCAAGGGGTGTGGGGCACCCGGGTGCTGAATTCTGGGGGGAGCTAGGCTCCCACCGCTGAAGCCACCTAAGCTCTTAACTATCTACCTGTTATGAAATAATAATTTTGATCAAGCTAGAAAAACAAAATACATATATACCTAGGTATTACTGAAATGTATGCCTACTGTTTCACTAAAGTGCATTCGACTTTGTGCGCTCATTTACCAAAGATGCGCTGCACCAGCGGCGGTGCTTGTCATTCACAACAGCGGCGTTTGACTCAGCAATGACGCTTGTCATTCTCAACAGCGCCGTGCACACGAAATTAACTCTTACATCAAAATATGTTACGTATTGTATTGAGCTGCACTGCTACGCGGCAGCAGGGTTAGGGCGAAATAAAAAAGTTTGTTTCTTTTTCCTTCTTTCATAAACAAGAAACAAGGCGTACGCGTGGTGTCTGAAATAAGCATAATAAAAGTTAATTTGGGGGCTAAACTAAATTTGGGGGCGCTGGGTGGATCTTTGCACCCCGGCGCCGCATATGCCAAAGACAGCGCTGGAAGGACTGACGGAAAGAGTTTCTGGGCTCATATTACCTGGAAGAAAACTCTTGCAGGGAGAGAGTTGGGTTCTTACATGAGTGTTCTTAGAGAGCAAACAATTCTCAGTTGAAAGTTTGGGATGGCAGTTCACACATCAGCAAAACCCAGTGGCCTAGAAGTCAATATTTCCTGACTTCAGTGCTCTTCATTCAGTGGGAACAGCTGAAACTTAGATCAGAGACCTTAATTTTTAACCCAGAGTAGCTATTTGAATTGTCTAGATTCTAGAACTGACAGTTGTCCATACCACCACCCCGTATACGGAACACTGCAAGATTCAGAAAGCAAAATATCCCAAATATGTGGCTAAATGAGTTCAGAGTTTATTGCTTGGTATGTTACAATGAATGCCATGGCTAGAAGAACAGTATCAAAATACAAAATACACAAAGAAAATTAGAATTGGATTGTAAATTTCTTGGCAGCTGGGCACACAAAAAAATTCACATTAGCTCCCAGAGATATTTATGGCTTGCATTTCCGAGAGAGACATTCACACTGTCTGGCGCTAAAGACTTCATGCTGTACGATGGAGCCATTGGCACAGCGGAGGGGCACTCGCATGGACTCTGTCGCTGTAGCCGAACAACAGGTGCACCGATCTTCAATGCTGTTCAGTGTAATGTTATAAATGGCTCTGCTTGTGCATTTGCCCTGAAAGTGAAATTAGAAATATTTTATTCCTGCGACACTATTTCCAGAATAAAATGTTCTGCCATGACAATTGCTCATACAGTCTCTGGGAAATTAGTTTTGGAAAAGGTCAGGTGCAGACAGAAGGCCGGCTCTCTGTAAACCATGGTTTGCAAATTGGACTCTGGCTGCAGTATCTACACTCCTCCTAAACAAAAATTCTACCTTATTTGCCTTAACCATGACTTAACATGACATCATGCTCACTAACACAGAAAGGAGCAGCAGTGTTCAGCTGTAATAGCCTTGCCAACAACTTCTTGGAAAAGCTTCAGTCATTAATATGGAGACTGAAAGGCCTCTAATTGGACTCAAGAGTTTCGGATCATTGCCTGGATGCTTCCCATTCTATTCCTTTATTGATTAGATATTTATTGCTATCAAACCCTCATGATACACAGAACATTTTTGTGTATAAACAATGTTCACAAAGTATTATAGACCATTGGGGAAGTAAATGTTTTGCATTCAGAAGGTCCCTCCCCAGGTGACATCTTTGTGTCTCTAGTTAAAAAGGCTCTTGGCTAGCAGCACAGAGTCACAATGACTGCTACCTCACCTCCATCCCAGAACTACAAAGGAAAGAGTAAAGATCAGGCATAGGCAAACTCGGAACTCCAGATGTTTTGGGACTACAACTCCCATCACCCCTGGATAACAGGACCAGTGGTCAGAGACGATGGGAATTGTAGTCTCAAAACATCTGGAGGGCTGAATTTGCCCATGCCTGGTAAAGATAGTTGGATTGGCTCCAATGTAAAGTCCCAGAAGGGAGGCCTAATATAAATGTAAACTCCAATGGCCATTCAACAATGGAAACGAGCTTTGGAATTGGGTAAGTGGCAGGAAAACAGATGATTAATACTTTCCCTATTGACCATCCTTCCACTACAGTGATTGCTCCCTTCCCCACCCATGGTGTTTCTACTGAGAAATAAACCCCCCAGAGTTGCTTTTCTTTATTCAAAGTGGCCGTGGGCTTTGTTGTAGGGCCTCGTGTGTAGTTTGTCCCTGACGATATGCCCACACTTAGCAAGCCGCCTTTCTCTGGAAGATTTTAAATTGCAGCTTATGATGCAACTCAGGCTGGGCAGAAGACAGGGAGACTGATGCTGTGTACACATTCCTGTTTACTCTGTACCCAGTGCGCTCCTACTGGTGGCTTGGGAGCAGAGCACATTTTTAGCCACAACCCATACCTATCCTGGATCTATTCTGTTATTGTCTATTTTGATGCTTCTCCACCCCCAGCCAAACCAACTTTGATCCAAATTGAGAAACAGGATGATCTGGGTGTGTTTCAAGCTGGCAATCTCTACAGAGCCAGAAAATACTGTTAAAGGAAGGAAGGAACATGCATCCCTGCAGCCTGCTCTTTGTGAGTGGATGCTAGGACATGTCATAGACTGTCTACAGAAATATCTCCTCCAGCTTTGCTCACCCAGAGTTCACGAAATGGGTAAGGATAGGTTACCTCACAGTAGTGGATGTTCAGCTGGCTTTCATTCACACAGTCGCCCACTTTCACATATTCCAGTCTGCCTGTGATTTGCTTGCATTCTGGCTCTACACCTAAAGAGGAGAGAAAAATGCAGTGGTAGCATCTGTAAGAAAGAGGCATGCATCCTACCATTCTATAAAAAGGTAAAGGTAAAGGACCCCTGACAGTTAAGTCCAGTCGCGGACGACTCTGGTGTTGCGGTGCTCATCTTGCTTTACAGGCCAAGGAAACGCCATTTACCTTCCTGCCAGAGCGGTACCTATTTATCTACTTGCACTTTTTGGGTGTGCTTTCAAACTGCTAGGTGGGCAGGAGCAGGGACCGAGCAACGGGAGCTCAACCCGTCGCGGGGATTCAAACCACCGACAACCTGATCGCCAAGTCCTAGGCTCTGTGGTTTAACCCACAGCGCCACCCCCTGCTTGATCTGGGTGTTGCAAGCTATATATGCTCAAATTCTGGAATTAATTTTAGAAGTTCTTCTAGTTAAACCAGAACTCAGCATGAATTCAACACTGCAAAGTTCCAAATAGAGAAATGATAAAGGAATTGAAACAAGTAAATCTTCTCATCCCCTCATATAGTGGGGAAATCTGCAAGTCATAGACTTCTGTTGCAATTCTCTCCCACTATAAGTCCCTGGCATGGGGATTTTAAATTATTATTGGCTAGTACAAATGTCTGCTAGTCTAACCTACACAGTGAGTGGCATGGCAAAACTGTTTCTGGACTTTCTGACATGACCAAAGCATGTGCTGCATATCACATGAGCAGCTTTCCTCCATGAGGTGGCAATAAGGCTGTCAATGCTTTAATAACTACCGCCAGCAATAAAGCTGTGTGCCACAAGGCGATCAGCCAATCTACAGGAGCATCACACATGCCATTGACATGTGTGGGCTTTAGCATTCATATTGTCCATCCTCACTAACACATGTGCTCTCTGGGACCCATGCAGACATGCTGCCGTGGGCCTCTCAGGTCTGATGGCTTCCTTCCTTCTGTGTCCTGAGCTCTGACAAATCTTGGTAGTGTCCGGAAGACTCAAATCTATGGCTATCTGAATCAGAAGCTCAATTGGGACAGCTTTGTTATGTTTTGTGAATGTTTAAATAATTCCAAATGCCTTCTTTTGGTCCATCATAATAGCCAATTATACTGATGCATTCTATGGCTGCATTATAATCAGAAATGTAAAACAATTGCAGATTCCTTTAATGGAGGAAGTTGCACCACTCCAGGATAGAACTGCACTATTTAGACCAAGGTTTACATTCAATCCATGCACAAAAGCCCCACTATTCAGGCATTGTGAACTGGTACAGAACATTGAAAAAAATGTCGTGTGTGCATAGCACAAATTAGAGCATTGTCTAATCCTAAATATTATGTGATATTTCAATCAGCTGACAAAGGATGGGCTTTACTAACTTTGAATAAAACCTGATAATCCACAAAAACCCAAAAAGAATCGTGATCCCTTTCATATATGAATGATATACTAGGAAAATCAGAGACGTGATTGACAAATCAATAAAGCAATCAACCTATATAGTGTTAGGCTGGTCCCATGTTCTCATAAAGATGTGAACAGAACCTTAAAACATTGTTAGCAGAAGAAATTGGAGGCTGATGCTCTGTATGCAATTATTTGCCTCATGGGGAAAAGGTTTTTGAACCCTACTGACAATAAACAGTATACATACAAACGGTTTTATAACTGTAATACAAAAGGAGTGGTGTGTGCTATTCTGTGTCTCTGTAATGAGATCTATGTGGGAACAACAGTGAGATCCATCAAGGTTCGCATCTGTGAGTATTAAAGCTGCATTAGGAACCACAGAATACAAGCTCCCATTATCCAGCCTTTTCCAGAATATGGATGTATTCAGGAAGACCTAAATTTTTCTGCCTGGAAAAGGTCCGTGCCAAAGGATTACAATTCCATCAGAAATTCCTGCAGAAAGAAGTATATTGGATGTAGACTCTGAATACAAAATCCTCCAGGGGTTTAAATCAAAATATGAACTGGATGGGTAACGTTATGAATTGTCTATAAAAGGAGATTCTGGCTGCATAAAGGCCATATACGTCTGAGTATACATATAAGTATTTGTTCATGCTCTTTCAGTAATGTGCTCTGTGTGTAACTATGTTTTGAAATTGAGGGTTAGTTGCTGCCGCATCAGTACAGTTTGCTGTAAATAGGGTTGCCATATTTCAAAAAGTAAAATTCCTGACAGCCGCAAAGTTGTTGACCTTTTTTAAAGAAGATATAACCCAAAAATAGTGATTTAAAGCTTTTTTAGCTGTTTCCGCCACTTTTTCCATTGTGTTGCCATACATGCGGGTTTTCCCTGACATTTTGCCAATTCGGCAAAATTCCCCCAGTGCCATTTTTACACTGAAAACCAGGACATGTCAGGAATTTTCCTGACATATGGCAAGCCTTGTTGTAAAAAACTTTAAAACAGAGATTTAGATATGGAAATTTAGGGCTCAATATCAACTAGATACTTAGCTATGTGGACACAGTAGCTGGTGTTCGTAAAATGAATTTTAAAAGATGGCCTAGAATGCATGTGGCAGATGAATTGAAAATTTGTTTTTGTTTGCATTTTAATAAGAAACTACTTAGCTTATACTTCTCAAACCAATATGTAAAGCAAAATACACCTAACCTTCAAAATTTGCACTTATCTGAATTTTGCAATGCAACTCTCCAACTAAGCAATGCGTACAAATATACATGTATTATTACAGTAATATATACAGTAATGTATCTCTGGTTAACACATGAAATGTATTTTATTTGGGGAAATTGCTTAGAAAAATGTGCATATGAATTAAACCAGCATACAAAAATATATTTGCTAGGAGAAAATTGCATTAAATGCAATTTAATGGGGATTTTTTTTAAAAAAAAAAAAACCACATATTGCTGCAGAAATGTGAAGAACTGAATTTAAGATGGGAAAATACTTAGAGAACTAAAATACAAACTCATCCATTCATAGTGATGAGTACCCAAAGAAACTGAGAAATTTTTCAGTTATTTCTAGTGTTGCATTTAAAATAACCCCGACAATAACGGACTGGCAGTACAAGCTACAAGAATTTGCTGAAATGGCGCAGTTAACAAATACCCTGAGAGGCAAGTCAAAACAAAAAATTATGGAAAAGTGGGATAGATATAAAACATATGTTCAAAAATACAGTAAAGGTTCGCTATCTATGCTAGCATTTGATTGACGTTGGAGTGAGACTGAGTTGAGAAATAAGACTAAGAGCTGGCAGCTGTAAACAAAATTTGCTCCCCCATATTCTATGATTTAAATATCTTAGATAGCAGAGCCAATTACGTCACTAAATTAATAATCCCAGCCCAACGTAGGGCTTTTATGCTGGCCCGTTTGAATGTTTTTCCCTCAGCATTTGTCAGGGGAAGATATCAAAACATTCCTAGAAACAAGAGATTCTGCAGATGTTCTATGAATGTCCCGGACACTGTAGAGCATATTCTCTTTCATTGCCCATTGTACAGTATCCCACGTCAACGCATGCTGTCCCCTCTTTTGGGTGGTCTGGAACCCCAGCAAGGTGAATGTGTGGGATTCTGCCTATCCGACGTCGACCAAAGGGTAACGGCGGGGGTAGCCGAGTTTTTGGTAGCAGTCCTCCAAGGAGCAGGTTAACAAGGAAAACCACTGATTCTATATGTATATATATATATATGTATGTAGCCAACTGCTGCCTTTTATATATATTTCAAGGCTTTTATATGTTATTTCCTCTTTTATGGTTTTATTTGCACAATGCCTAATAAAGGTTTGATAAGTAAGAGCACATATTGATATAGGAATGTATTAGATAAAATGTAAAGAAATATACAATAGTAAGAGTACATTCATTTGTAAAAAAGGAATATACAACGGGAAAGACAAGAAGTTAGTGTGTTGGTATGTATATGATTTTTGGGGGAAATGTTTGTTTTTTTCTTTGTTCTTTTTTGTTTGTTTCATTTTTTTAGGCATATAACATTTGTATATAATTTTTGTATACATGTTCGAAATTATATTATAGTAAGTTCTGTAATGTAATATGACAATGTTTACTGATGCAATGTAAGAATATTAATAAATAAATAAAATGCTAAAAAAAAGTTTGCTACTGTATTTGTCGACTGGGCACGACCAGTACAAGAAATCTTATCTGTAATAGCAATATTACCCTTTTACATCACTATGACTGTCACCAGGTGAGAGGTTCTTCAAATGGGCTCTGCAAAGGCACTGGCAAATGCATGAAGCAGCATTATCGCACACGACTAAGCAACTAGACAACAACAACAAGGTTGTGCTAAATGTATTCACTTTGAAAGGTGTGGCTTTTTTGAATGAGTGTCAGAGTGGGTTCTCCTCCATTGTCCCTTCTTCCTCCTGCTGTTGGCCAACTTCACTGTGACGTTCCTGGCTTGTACTAAGCAAGAATTCCCTGTTATTTCCATACCAAGGAACAATGGCTCAGTCTCAGTTAAGAAGCCACAAACTCTTTTTATGTCTGAACTTGGGAACTCTGGTTTAATACAGTCTAGGATCTTCATGGTTTTCCCAGTAGTAATGTATGGATGGGAGCTGGACCATAAAGAAAGCTGATCGTGGAAGAATTGATGCTTTTGAATTATGGTGCTGGAGGAGACTCTTGAGAGTCCCATGGACTGCAAGAAGATCAAACCTATCCATTCTGAAGGAAATCGGCCCTGAGTGCTCACTGGAAGGACAGATCCTGAAGCTGAGGCTCCAATATTTTGGCCACCTCATGAGAAGAGAAGACTGCCTGGAAAAGACCCTGATGTTGGGAAAGATGGAGGGCACAAGGAGAAGGGGGCGACAGAGGACGAGATGGTGGGACAGTGTTCTTGAAGCTATCAACATGAGTTTGACCAAACTGCGGGAGGCAGTGGAAGACAGGAGTGCCTGGCGTGCTCTGGTCCAGGGGGTCACGAAGAGCCGGACATGACTAAACAACTAAACAACAACAACAAAATGCCAAAACTGGTACATGATAAGGTGTGGCGAAGGAGGGGCACATGACTCATGGCACCTTGAACTTGGACTGTGATTTGGTGCCCTGTTTTCTCTAGGCTGCTGCTGCTTCTCGTTGCCATTTTCCATCATTTTGTCTGGTCTCATTGCCATTATAAGACTCCTTTGCCCAAGCTGTCATTTAATCCTGTCGTTTGGCAGTTGCTTCCTATGTGGTTTTAAGTGTCAGTGTTAGGAAATACAAGAATATCACTGAGACCATGCAGATGTGTTCACAAGTGCCAAAAATGGCTATAAAGAGGAGGTCCTTTTCAACATTTGCAGAAACCGACATGAAAAGAGGCAGGTGGTTTGGACTTAGCCCTAGAACTGACATGTTGGTCCTAAAAGCAACTTCTGGGCCTCTATGATGTTCATTGGAATTTTCCCTCAGTTTTCACTGGATTCCCTCAACCTTGAATTAGTAGAAAATCCAATCAGAAAAGCGATATTGGTCAAATTTTGGACTTTCCAACATATTTAGCATCATCCTATAAAAAGCTTTCCATTAGCAGATGAAAGCCAGAACTGGGAGATTACACTATTAGGAGATTTTATTTTATTTTATTTGCTTTGCTGTTCGTTTTCTGCAGTGTTTCTCTAAAGTTGTCTTTGAGCCATTTCAGTATTACATTCACATCTGTTTTATGTAATGGTTAATTGGCTATTTTCAGTAATAGTCACTGTGCAGATAAAAAAAACCCTCTTAATTAAATTAACCTGTGAGCACTTTACAGTGAGAGTCTATTATCTCAAGAGCTCCAGTGACTTTTATTTCTTAAAACTGGAACTTGCTGATATATGGACAGGCAACGGCAAGAAATGATCTTGGAATAAATTCCTCAAACTGGGGTTTTGTTACAGCAGTTAACTGTGGCTGCATAGGGATGGCCATCTTTTATTTATTGGCACATGAACAGAACAAAAAGTAAGAGGAGAGAGAATGGAGGGTGAAGAGGTGCTGACATTTTGACCTTCAAAGGAGGGATAGTTTTCAGTGATAAACAAATTCTATAATTATCCACCATATAACTTGACAACTGACGCCTTTATTTGAGGTCATGTTGAAGAATTAGTTTTGGAGACTGATCCAGGCAAAAGAAGAAAATCAGGGTAAAGTCTCCACTTTAAGAAATATCGTGTTTCCTAAACCTCTGGCAGTGGGAATCATACTTTTACAGCTCAAAAGGTTTATGCTTTAGAGAAGGCAATTAAAACCAAAAGCAAAAACAAAACCCTAGAGGAAGGAACTTTCTTGCATGCATTTTTTTCTGCAGGAGTCATTGACCACTGTGCATCTCTTTTTTATGCTTTGTTGTAAACACCAACAAAATCAAAAAGAAAACCCATACATTTATGTCATTACACCAAATACAAAATAAACAAAAGGATAAAATCATCTGTTTTGACGGTAAATCTTCTTAAGGTACATCTAACTTCCCGTCTTCTCCATGCTTCTTTTAATATTTACAAACTTATTGCATAAATCTATCTGTTCATTTTATATTAAAGTATTATATCCTTGTTACTTAGTTATTCGAAGGCTGCGACCGAGTTCATACTACAACAATTGATCTTAAGATATGATTTGAAAACCTCCCATTTTGCAATAAATACTTGTTTTGACTTAGCTTTCATTTTTTCAGATAGTTGGGCTACCTCTGCATATTGGCTAGTATTTGTAACCATTCTGACCTGGAAGGGATTTATCATTTTTCCATTTAGTTGCTTTTAAGATTCTCGCTGTGACTGTGGCGTATAAAAAAAACTTCTTTTACATTCTTAGGAACGTCTGATCCTGTAATTCGGAGTAGATATGCTTCTGGTCTTTTTAAAAATGAAACCCTAAACTTTTTGTAAAGTTCTATATAGATGTCGTCCCAGAAGATCCAAATTTTTTTACATAGCCACCACATGTGGAACGTAGTACCAGTTTCTACTCCACATCGCCAAGTACTAGATACATTTTTGAAAGCTTCCAAAAATGGGGGATACCTGAATCTCAGGGTGCTATATCTCTGTGTCAGAAAGAATCCTGCAGTCCAGTCACAGCCAATACAGAAAAAATGCAATCGAGGCAAGTGATTCAGTGCAGCGTAGCGGTTTGAGTGTTGGACTAAGACCTGGGAGACCAGGGTTCAAACCTTAAGAAAGCCATGAAACTCGCCAGATATCCTACCTCACAAAGTTTCTGTGAGGATCAAGTCGGCAAATGGGAACTAAGTGTGCCACCTTGAGCTCTTTGGGGGGAAACACAAATGTAAAAATAAATAAAAGATATGCAGCTACCAAAACAGCTACTTACATGTTTTGCAGCATGTGTTGTCAAGGTTTGCGACTTTGCCCTAAAAAGAGAACACGTCTCATTTAAAATATTTTAAAATGCAGTGGACGCTCAGGTTGCAAACGTGATCCGTGCGGGAGGCAAGTTCGTAACCCGCAGCGTTCGCAACCCGCGACCCACGTGTCTGCACATGCACAGGTCACGATTTGGCACGCTTCTGCACATGCGCAAGCGCCAAAACCCATAAGTAGCCCGTTTCAGTACTTCCGGATTCGGCATGGTGCGCAACCCGAAATCGCGCAACCTGAAGCATCTGTAACCCGAGGTATGACTGTATATGGAAGCCGCTCAGAGTGGCTGGGGCAACCCAGTCATATGGGTGGGATGCGAATAAAATAATAATAATAATAATAATAATAATAATAATAATAATAATAATAATTCTCTTCAGGGGTGCCAACTTGAATAAATAATTGGGGGGCCAGCAAGCCCTACCCCGCATATACGATCACAAGATGCGATGCACACACACTTTTTTTTAAGGCAATGCCCATCAACTGCGGGAGGCGGAGGCCGTCCTCCTCAAATATATTATTTAAAACATTCAGAACATAATTAAAATTAACAATAAGCTAAAGAGAAATTAAAACCCTTGCAAACATTCTGTATATCTGAGTTGGCTTATCTAAAAACAAAAAATGTTTTAGCAGATGAAGGTGCCTGCCTGATGTCTGTAGGCAGGAAGGCCCAAGTGTGGGTGCTGTCACACTAAAATACGGATTTCATACAAACGCACAATGTGGCACCTGCAGCAGGGCCAGTTCTGCAAATCAAAGCAGCAGAGTGCTTGTGTTGCTCTGCAAAGGACCAGCCACACAAATGGTGCTACAATAATCGGCACCAGCATCATCGCCACGCTGTGCGATCTACTCAACAGGGCACTTGGCTCATTACTTACTCCTTCAGACAGACACTTGTTGGGATCAAATGGCGGGCAAGCAGTGATTCTCTTCTCCCAGGTGAAATCTCCTTTCATGTTGACTTTGCAATAATGGGTGTCGCACCCATCTTGGATCATTTCAGTGGGCTGTGGGGAAAAAAACAGAATTTCCAATTATACAAATTATGGTCATCATTACCACCATCAAGTTGTATTTTTCTCCCTCCCTCCCTACAGCTACCAGATGAAAGTCTCAAGGTCAGCTCACACTTCTACCAACAAGGGATTATAAACCTGAGTGCGGAACAGTCCCATGCGCTCCTGGTCATCTACTTATGGCAAAAGGTGGGGACCGCCCTGTGATCTTCGGATTTAGGATGGTATACAAATTTAATAAAGAAATAAATATGAATATTTTTTGGAGCTTGAGGTGTGGTGGTAACTGGCCATGTGTACTCATGGTATGCATAACATGTTCAGCAGAATTCATGTTGTGGGGGTACAGATAGCTCCACTGTTCCCTCCAGATACACAGTGCATTTGTCTGGAAAACATGTATAAACCAGCCCCTTATTGTTCATGTTCAAAAAGGAAGAAGCCAAGCAAGACAATACCGTTTGCCTATCTTCCCTCAAGTTTCCCCCTCTGACTGTAAGTGAGATACCTTCCACCTGAAGGAGCGTCTCCACCCCCATTGTTCAGCCCAGAAACTGAGGTCCAGCTCTGACGGCCTTCTGGCGGTTGTTGTTATTATTATTATTATTATTATTATTATTATTATTATTATTAATTTTATTTCGGTTCCCTCACTGCGAGAAGCAAAGCTACAGGGAACCAGGCAGAGGGCCTTCTCGGTAGTGGCGCCCTCCCATCAGATGTTAAGGAAATAAACAACTATCTGATTTTTAGAAGATATCTGAAGGCAACCCTGTTTAGGGAAGTTTTTAATGTTCAATGTTTTATTGTGTTTTAAATATTCCATTGGGAGCCACCCAGAGTGGCTGGGGAAACCCAGCCAGATGGGCAGGTTATGAATAAATTATTATTATTATTATTATTATAATTTCATGATGCTGAAAGCCAGACAGTCACTCAGGCCTAGAGACAACCACTCCTAAGACAACCTTATGGGGAGCCATCTGTGAGAGTTGTGGCTCAGCATCTGCGGCCATCCACAGATATATATGAAGAACCTGAAGGAGCATCTCCACCCCCATTGTTCAGCCCGGAAACTGAGGTCCAGCTCCGAGGGCCTTCTGACGGTTCCCTCACTGCGAGAAGCAAAGCTATAGGGAACCTGGCAGAGGGCCTTCTCTGTAGTGGCACCCGCCTTGTGGAACGCCCTCCCACCAGATGTCAAGGAAATAAACATCTATCTGACTTTTAGAAGACACCTGAAGGCATCCCTCTGCAGGGAAGTTTTTAATGTTTGAGATTTTTTTGTATTTTAATGTTTTGTTGGGAGCCACACAGAGTGGCTAGGGCCACCCAGTCAAATGGGTGGCATATAAATAAAATCATCACCATCATTTTTTGGTGCATCTCCTGTTGCAAGTTCCTTACAGTACAGTGGTACCTCTGGATGCGAACTGGATCCGTTCCGGAGCCCCGTTCGCATCCCGAAGTGAACGTAACACATGACTGTGCTTCTGTGGGTTGTGTTTTGCTGCTTCCGCACATTCGTGTGACGTCATTTTGAGCGTCTGCGCATGTGGCAAAACCCTGAAGTAACACACTCTGTTACTTCAGGTTCACCGCAGAGCGCAACCCGAAAATGCTTAACTTGAAGCGTATTCATCCCAAGTCATGACTGTAGTTGTCTAAGTGCCCCTTAAGCAAAAGGGATTCTGGGCTGCATCAATAGGAGTATAGCATCTAGATCAAGGGAAGTAATAGTGCCACTGTATTCTGCTCTGGTCAGACCTCACCTGGAGTACTGTGTCCAGTTCTGGGCACCACAGTTCAAGAAGGACACTGACAAACTGGAACGTGTCCAGAGGAGGGCAACCAAAATGGTTAAAGGCCTGGAAACGATGCCTTATGAGGAACGGCTAAGGGAGCTGGGCATGTTTAGCCTGGAGAAGAGGAGGTTAAGGGGTGATATGATAGCCATGTTCAAATATATAAAAGGATGTCATATAGAGGAGGGAGAAAGGTTGTTTTCTGCTGCTCCAGAGAAGCGGACACGGAGCAATGGATCCAAACTACAAGAAAGAAGATTCTACCTAAACATTAGGAAGAACTTCCTGACAGTAAGAGCTGTTCGACAGTGGAATTTGCTGCCAAGGAGTGTGGTGGAGTCTCCTTCTTTGGAGGTCTTTAAGCAGAGGCTTGACAACCATATGTCAGGAGTGCTCTGATGGTGTTTCCTGCTTGGCAGGGGGTTGGACTCGATGGCCCTTGTGGTCTCTTCCAACTCTATGATTCTATGATTCTATGACTCTATCCTGTATGTAGCTGACACTCTATAAATAATATACAACAGTACTGCTACTGCTGCCACCAGGACACAAGGAACTGGACCGCTTGTTGCCTTTTCATCTAGAGCTTGAAATAGCAGGAAATGTTCTTGCAGAAGCCCCTTTCTTGTCAATGGAATATATGCTAGAGTGGAATCTTCCAGACAAACTGCATTCACTCGGCATTATAGTGGACCCAGTTTTAAGTGAAACCAACTCACCTTCAGGGAAATAATGGTTCTGTTCCTTAGCTGTATGGAACATGCAGATGGCAAGCATTTGCCGCAGCAGGAGCCAGAGACTTTTTCCATCCTGTAATTCTGCAAAGAAATAAAATGGATGATTTCACTGAACCTCAGTCTTCACCGACATCAAAATAATCTGCTAAAGTGCAGTGGCACTGCCTCACTTCACAGCCATACTCGACTATGGCAGTCCACTAGATTGAAGCCTGGGCATCTGTAACCCAGCGAGCATGCCATTCAGGAGACTGTCAAATCCATTGTGTGTCGAGATCCCCAAGCCACCCCCTAAATAAATCACAATTCACACAGAAATTTTTGTTTAAGGTTTTTGGCATAATTTTGGCCACAACTTTATTAAAATACATAATGCGAGTGGTTGCTTAGGCATTGGTTATGACTATCTGTCCCCGCCCTGGGACAGAACTGACTTCCGGATTCCAGCGAAAGCCAGTAAGGGGAAACAATATTGAGGAGAGAATGGGGCTGGGCAACATACCGTCACCCCTCCCCGCATGCTCCCAGGGGCTTGCACAGCCCTAGCCCCTTGCCAGGGATACGGACAAAAGTATGGCACACCCCTGGATTCCTTTAACGGAATTCCCTTGCAGCAGCAGCATTGGAGGGGCAGGCACTGCCAACCCTTACCCCTCCACCAACCAATTTTAACCAATGCCTAACCGCAACCTTACAAGTTGTGACGATTTGTAACGCAGTAGGCAAAAACCAAATGGCACCAGCCAATCTGCCAAATGGACAAAATTCCTACCAGGCCCCTGCCCCAAAAGCAGATGGACCCATGCCAGGCATAGCAAGGTCAAGCGCAACAGCCCTAAATTAGGGAGGGAGGGTGGGCGATCTGATGCACGCAGCAAAAGAAACTGAAAAAAATGTGTGCCAAGAATAACATCAAACATCATGGTAACATCAAAATCTCCCCAACAACCCAAATTGGCCCAATCACAGTCATGGCCATCCAAACGGTCCCGCCCAGTAACCAAGAAAGGGTGTCCTGTTAGACCCCACCGCAATACGTACTCTCCATGATGGAGAACACGCTTTCTCACACCAGTGGCTCATGTCCCTTGCGGGGAGACACCCCATATGATTATGTAGTTATTGGGTTACAGATGACGATCGGTGGGAGGCAACTCTGTGCTGAAACAATTTTGCGTGGCAAATCGTATCCTCTTGAAGGAGGGTACGCATTGTGCTCCAGTCCCCAGACATCTCCCACCTCCTGGTGTGGGCAGGGCTATTCCCTGCTCAACTCTGGTTGGTCGTTTTGCGGTCACTTGGTCCCTAAAGCCAATTGCTTGGCTTGGGGGTTGGCTGCAAAACATTATTTAAGCCCTGTGCGATGTTTGCTGGACCTTTTTGCCTTCGCGCAGTAGATCCCCCACCCACCCACCCCTTTATCTGGTGCGTTGGCCTTGCTATGGACGTTGTTGGTCGCCTGTTTTGCAGTGGAGGCCTGGTAGGAATTTTTCCATCTGGCAGACTGGCTGTTGCCATTTGGTTTTCACCTACCGTGTAGCAATCATCACAACTTTGTAAGGGTTGGCAGTTAGGCATTGGATCAGCAATGTGTGGGGTGGAGAGGTGCGGTCATCACCTGCCACTCCAAGCTCAAGGGTATTCTCTTAAAGGAATCAGGGGTTGACCTGGGTCTTGTCCGAAACATTGCGGTAGGGGCTAGGGCCATACCAGGACCCCATGGGGGAGAACTCAAGTCGGTTCGCATCGGTGGGGCTCCCTCTGGTGGTGTTTCACCCTTTTATCAGATTCCCCGTGATGTGGGTGGGAGTCTGATATAGTTTGGATTATTCCAATGCCTAAGCCAATACCACTCACATTCTGTATTCAATAAAGTTGTGGCCAAAATTTTGCCCAATAACTCAAACTAAAATCCCGTGTCAATTGTGTCTTCATTTTTGGGGGTGGTTGGGGGATCTCGAACCGCAACTGTTCTACAAAAATAACCTGAGAGTCTGTCCTTAGAAGTCACACATTTGTCGTCATTTATAACAACACATACATAAATACTGCGTGCAATGTTGCTTTGGGGGAGATTGGCAAAGGTCTATTTTTATTCCTTCCCCCCTCTTCCTGTCCCCCCTCAATGATTTCATCATTGGATGAGGAGGGATTGGGCTCAGATGAAGCTTCCCTGGAGTCTAATCCCTCTTTTCAACAGCTGCTTTCAGGGATGGAGTGAATGTTAAGACCTCCCTTCATCTCCGAAGCAAGTCTGGTGGGAACAGAACTGGGCACAGAATAGGAAATCTATACTGAATGACGTTGAAGGGGCTCTGCCTTCACACAAAAACTAAATGAGCAAATCTGAATGGCAAAGGGCCTACATAAGAAAAATTACACACACACACACACACACACACACACACACATATATATATATATATATATATATTTAAATAATGGCTGTATTTCTAGCACGTAAAGACTTAAAGTGTCCAGTCCATCCAGGAACTCTTGAGAAATGTAGGGGTCCCTTGAAACCTTGGCTGCGGCTGCACACACAGATGAAGTTTCTACCAGTATAAGCTGTGTTCTATGAACTGGTAAGTCAGGGGGAGAATTTCAGCAAGGTTCTGAGCCATTCGTGCTCCAGCCTAAAGTCCCCGCCAATTTGGGATGCATCCACTACGAAAACAGTAATTTCAGGTATTTAGAAATGCTTTTTTAAGCGATTTTAAACAGATCCTTTACCTAATTGCATGTGGAAATATGCAAAATGCAACTCTAACCAAGTTCAATAAAAAATAAGGCTCACACTAATCATGTAACAATATTCTGCTCTGAGCCAACCGGAGTGAGGGAACATGGAAAATTTAGGTAAGAATTGTGGCCGTGAAGAATGAAAAAGAGTCTTGAAAATTATCTGGCAGCAGCTGTCAAGTGTACAGGAAGACCCTGATCTCATTATTATTTTACAGGTAGCATTAGAAGCATTTAAAACTTTTTGCAGACCGTGTGCTTTAACTCCTACTTTTCTTCATGGCAAGGCTAAAAGGGCCTTCGGGTTCAAGTATTTATTTACTTATTTTGTAAAAGTTGTATACCACTGATTGTTATTTTTTAAAACCCTCAAAGTAGTATGGAAATCAGTGATACTGTAAGAAAAAGGATGTAGTTGATTTATATAGTCCAGCCAACTCCTGTGGCACAAAACGCATGCTGCACATTTCCATGAATTTTGGTAGAGTTTGTGACTGTCTCTTAACAGAGGTGTAAGAATAAAGTAGCTTGGAATATATCCTAGACCTTCAATATCAGCAGGGCCATAACACACTCTCTTACCTTGGGGCAAGGTTCACAGGTGATTTTTCCACATGTCAACTTATACTTCAAAAACAGTCCCCTCTGTAGGCTGCACTGACAGCTGGTGCACTGATCCAACAGCATGCGTTTCCCAGGCTGAAAGATGAGAACAAAACTGCAGTTTCAACTGATCATGCTTTCTCATCAGAAACATGAAGAATGGACCATTCTTAACCAGATGAATAATAATAATAATAAAACAGTTCAGCCTCTAAACATATAATTTCCCAAAAAAGATATGAAAAATTCTACTTTGCTGATAGTTCAAGCAAAAATGATAATAATATTAAGGTGTCCAGGGAATCTATTGGAAATGAACTATCAAGCAAATGTCCTTCTGCCTTTCCATTCAGTCCCCATTGTGGTATGAACGCCTTCCCCTTTCTCCAGCTGTGGTTACAATCCATTAGGTAAAGGGTAAAGGGACCCCTGACCATTAGGTCCAGTCGTGACCGACTCTGGGGTTGCGCGCTCATCTCGCTCTATAGGCTGAGGGAGCCAGCGTACAGCTTCCGGGTCATGTGGCCAGCATGACTGAGCCACTTCTGGCCAACCAGAGCAGCACATGGAAACGCCGTTTACCTTCCCGCCGGAGCGGTACCTATTTATCTACTTGCACTTTGACGTGCTTTTGAACTGCTAGGTTGGCAGGAGCAGGGACCGAGCAACGGGAGCTCACCCTGTCGCGGGGATTCGAACCGCCGACCTTCTGACCAGCAAGTCCTAGGCTCTGTGGTTTAACCCACAGCACCACCCGCATCACTTACAATCCATTAGGTAAAAGGTAAAGGTACCCCTGCCCGTACGGGCCAGTCTTGCCAGACTCTAGGGTTGTGCGCCCATCTCACTCAAGAGGCCGGGGGCCAGCGCTGTCCGCAGACACTTCTGGGTCACGTGGCCAGCGTGACGAAGCTACTCTGGCGAGCCAGAGCCGCACAGTCTGTCAAGACTGGCCCGTACGGGCAGGGGTACCTTTACCTTTACCTTTTAGGGTTGCTGGGAATTATATTCACAGAATTGAATCCAGTGGTTCTCCATTCTTTTAGCTTGAATCATTTATTTAGGGGGGGGGGAAGAAGTTTCTACGCTGTAACCTAGCAGCAAGGCAAAATTAAAAACCCACTAATATCCCATGTTTGGGGGAAAGCTTCCACCCAGATAAAATTATTATATAATTTCTTCAGGGATTATTCCTGGACAGTAAAAGGTAAAGGTACTCCTGACCGTTAAGTCCAGTTGTGACCGACTCTGGGGTTGCGGCGCTCATCTCGCTTTATTGGCCGAGGGAGCCAGCGTATAGCTTCCGGGTCATGTGGCCAGCATGACTAAGCTGCTTCGGGTGAAACCAGAGCAGCGCACGGAAACACCATTTACCTTCCCGCCAGAGCGGTACCTATTTATCTACTTGCACTTTGACGTGCTTTCAAACTGCTAGGTTGGCAGGATCCTGGACAGTAAAGCCCCATTAACAAGGAGATTACTGGGAGCTGGCAAATGCATATAATAATGATTTTTTTAAGTTTGTGAAATACACCTATGAAATGCTGCATGAGAATCCTACAACATCTGCTAACACACTACTGGCCAATGCAAGCCGTAAAAGTCAGTATCAAGGCAAAGAGCACCCGGGTCTTCCTTAATCACTCTGCTCAATAAAAGCCTGGGAAACCAGATGACTGTTGCAAGGCGATTCCATTTGGTAAGTCAAGCCACCTGGTTGGAAGTTTAAAGCAATTCAGAATGAACGCAGTTAAGCCAAACTATGGGAGAATAAAGCTGGTAACTAGATACGAGGTGGAAATGTAAAGGGATTAAGGCAAAAACAAATGGCTCCAGTGATATAATGGCAACAGAAGACTCTGAACGTTGTTAATGGGGGCCAGTAGGGAGAGGTGAGGAAAGAAGAGAGGGGATTTTCCTTTAATGGAAAGTGAAATATGTACTTCAAGGGTGGTTAAAAATACATTTTTCAAGTCTGGGAAATGTAAGTGTGTGAGATACCAAGTCCTGCTTCCATGTTACTTCCAGCAGTACCCTATTGGATGAAGGCCAAACTCTCAGGAGAATGTCTAAATATTACAAATCACAGATTCTTGGAGATTCTTTATTTTTTCCATGGGAAAACAGAAACCCTGGAGGAAAGCTGGGTGGGTGTACTAAAGAAACACTGATGGGTTGAACTGAACTAGGAAGGGTGTTCTACAAAGAAAAAAACTTTTAATTAACAAACGCACATACTTTAAACTGCTGAGACTTTTTGCAGTGCTATTGTTTTTTTCTAGTTTTGTAAAGTTGTAGTTTTTTGCACTTTTGTCCTGGACATTCCAACTGGCGAATGAAGACAGGACACAACTTTTAGAATGAACAAACAAACAAAGCTGCAATCCTATACTGCCTTATCTAGGAATACATTGCCATGAATTCGGTAGGATTTTCTTCTGAGTGGAGTTTCATGGAATTGCACTATAAACAGATAAATGCCCCCTGAAGCAGTTATAATAATGAAGGACTAATACTGGGCCTTAGATAGAGCTAATAAGAATGATTTAAAAATATTTTCCTAGCATTCTCCCTCTCTCTACCCCTCCTCCGCTTCCTTTTCCTGTCTTTCTCTGTCCTATCCTAATTTGCCTTTCTCTGAGTCCCTCTCTGGCTCTCTGGGCAAAGTTTTTGATGCCCTAATTAGATTTGTGGGCAATTGTATTCTTACTTAAAAACTGCTGCTGGGGCTCCAGATTGGATTGAAACATAATCAAGCACTTTTTGAACAACCAAACTGCTTTTCGGACATCTTCTCTGTAATCCTTTTGGATTTTTTTTGCTTTCAGAGTGAGCTTCCCTTTTCCACAGACATTCCCCCCATGGAGGAAAATGCTAATGTTGCAAGGAAAGTCCCTTGGTCTCAGTTCCTTTTCATGGTAATAAAAAGGTAAAGGGACCCCTGACCATTAGGTCCAGTCGTGACCGACTCTTGGGTTGCGGCGCTCATCTCGCTTTATCGGCCGAGGGAGCCGGCGTACAGCTTCTGGGTCACGTGGCCAGCATGACTAAGCCGCTTCTGGCAAACCAGAGCAGCGCACGGAAACGCCGTTTACCTTCCCACCACCTATTTATCTACTTGCACTTTGACGTGCTTTCAAACTGCTAGGTTGGCAGGAGCTGGGACCGAGCAACGGGAGGTCACTCCGTCATGGGGGATTTGAACCACTGACCTTCTGATCGGCAAGCCCTAGGCTCTGTGGTTTAACCCACAGCGCCACCCGCGTCCCTTTTCATGGTAATAGGGGTAGCGAAATCAAACGGGGACATGTCACTCAAGTGCTTAGAAAGCCAGAGAAGAAGGAGAAAACCCAGAAGAGGAGATGAGAGTTTATTCCCTGGTCAATCAAAGGGAATAATTGTATGGAAAAACTCTTCAATTTATGGTTCCACTTCTGGTGCAAGTAAAATGATCAAGAGTCTGGAAACAGAGGAAGAGTGGAAAGGGTTGGGTATGTTTAGCCTGGATAAGATGAAATATGATAGCCATCTTTAGTTATGTAAAGGACTGTCCCATGGAAGATGGGAGAAGTTTATTTTCTCCTGCTCTGGAGGGTAGGACCCAAACCAATGGCTTCAAGTTTCAAGAAAGGAGATTCTGGCTCAACATCAGGAAGAACTTTCTGACAAGAGGAGCTGTCTGACAGTGGGAAAGACTCCCTCGGAAAGTGGTGGGCTCTCTTTCCTTGGAGGTTTCCGAAGCAGAGGTTATCTCGATTATCTGTCATGTAAACTTTAATTGAGATTCCTGCACTGTAGGGGATTGAACTGAAGATCATTTCAAAAGTTGATCAGCTATTATCTTACCGCAAGAACGGTGCCATTCAAAACACAGCCGCTTACAGGTTCTACAAGAGAAAATGGGTGTCCATTAGCATGAGTACCTTCAACGCAACCATAAGGATTATAATAATCTATATTCTGCATTTCCATGGTGTCGTCTGGAGTGCATTGTCACCCATATGCAGATGGCATGCAGCCCTATTTCTCCTGTTCATCTCAAACACATCTGGCTATGGCCATTCTTGACTGCAGTGATGGACTAGATGGGGCCACACTGTCCCTGAAGGATCAGGTTCATAGCTGGGGGTACTCCCGGATCCATTGATGTCATTGGTGGCACAGATCGCTCCCATGACATAGGGCGCCTCCCGCCAGCTTTGGCGGATGCCCCAGCTCCACCCCATCAGGCTATCTGGGGCCTGGTAACCTCATTGCTGCATTGTGCTATACATGGGGCAAATAACACATTTGTTCTGTATGATTCCCTCTGGGAGCAATGGAACATCAAGTCCTATTGCTCCCAGAGACTTGCTCTATCTGTGTTGAAAGTGCTGGTGGCAAGGAGTCCCAGGCGCTAGCTGCTCAGGCTGTGGGTAGCTGGATACCCTGTTTTTATTTAGCTGGTTATTACCATTTCTCAACAGTTCCTTAAAAAATAAACAAATCCCTAAGTGGTATACCATTTTAGAGGGGAGTGAAGAAGCAGAGGCAGCACAAAGCCCTCAGACCACCTCATAATGGAACAGGCCACATTGAGGATTCTGAAATGGACCACTGATTTCCCAAGGAAGCATAAACTGCTATATTATTTTGCGCAGCCTGTTTTTGCTTCCAGAACTGTTAGGCAACAAAATGGTGCTGTAAAGTGCTTAGTCAGTCGTCTTCTCCGCCATGAAAAAACATCCTGGGGCAATAAATTCTACAAGGCAATTGTGTGTCCGAAAAGAACTGTGCAAAAATAAAAATAAAAAAAGCAAAAGTGAGTTTGGGCTGAGGAGGAAAGTGGGAAAGTGAGTGATGCTAGAGAGGGAAAAAAGCATAAATAGTGGCATCAGTATGTTCTTGATGTCACACAAAAACAAAACAGAAAGCGAACTGTTGAGTTGTAGCCTAAGTCGTATAGCCCAAGCCAAATGCTTAACTTTGACTGTGGACCATTTTTCCTGATGATCCCTTTTTGTGTGTGACAGACCATTCCGTACCACAGTGGCATGTAGGACAGCAGCCAGTTGTTCGGCCACAGTGCAGTTCGGTTCCAAATGGGCAACTGGGTTGCTGTGCCTGAGCGCACGAGACGTTCTTTGTCTGAATAAACACCTCCTCATTCACCCGGACGCATTCTCTGATGATGCATGGATCGGACGGGGAAGGCCACTCGGAGCCAACCTGTAAATGAAACACAGGAAAATGACTTTTGTGGAATGAAGACTGCCTTCCTCTTTTAAAGTGGAGGGAGAAATATGTCAAGGCAGTTGTCTTCTCCCATCCAAGCAAACTGTGGCGACCGTGTCAGCCAGCCCTTAGGCCAGGCATAGGCAAACTCGGCCCTCCAGATGTTTTGGGACTACAACTCCCATCATCCCTAGCTAACAGGAACAGTGGTCAGGGGTGATAGGAGCTGTAGTCCCAAAACATCTGGAGGTGCAAGTTTGCCTATGCCGGCCTTAGGCCTTGCTGTTGCTAAATGTCAAGCAGTCATTAGAAAACAGCTGCCAAGGATGCTATCAGGATGACGACACTTGATAGCGTTAATCTGCCTTGTATCACCAAAGCCTGGCCGGGCAAAGGCAGAAATAGGGTTAGCTTCTCAATTATGCCCCATGTGGCTTCTCCATGGGGTGCCACCACCATGTTCTTCACTTTTTAGGAGTCCCAATTGTGCTTATATCTGGCGTTGAATATATAACCCCTATGGGACTTGCCAGCTGAGACCCAGTGCTGAGGTGCCCAAGGCTTTCAGGCCTTGTCAGGATCAGTGCAGGACTTTATGGGGCTATCCCAACAGATTAGACACCCAACAGTAACTACCCTTTAGTTGGTGTACTCTTGGACGAGGTCTAATTATGGTGATGTGAAGCTGAGGCTCCAGTACTTTGGCCACCTCATGAGAAGAGAAGACTCCCTGGAGAAGACACTGATGCTGGGAAAGATGGAGGGCACAAGGAGAAGGGGGCGACAGAGAACGAGATGGTGGGATAGTGTTTTCGAGGTTACCAGCATGGGTTTGACCAAACTGCGGGAGGTAGTGGGGGACAGAGGTGCCTGGCGTGCTCTGGTCCATGAGGTCACGAAGAGTCGGACACGACTAAACGACTAAACAACAACAACAACATAAGTGGGGGAAGATGTCAGCCGTGCCCTTTCCATGGTCCAACCGACAGACTGACCTCATGCCAATGGACATCTTCATCTCCCGGAGACCAGTGTGACACCTCGTCGCACATCGTCTTCAGACATTTCCCACAACACGCTCCTTCCTTGTTCACATACTTATATCCCTGGGGCGTGGGAATGAAATAAAAGACATTCTGATTGTACAATAGAAACAAAGATGAGTTAGAAATTAGTTTATTTCCTTTCTGGGGTGGGGGGAGGGAAGGAATTGTCAATTACAGTTGCCCTCAAACATTAACTACAGAGTTAACACATGCAACTAGAGAGATAACTAACCCTAGTTAACCATTGGCAAACATTTTTTTTAAAAAAATTAAGCTGTGTTTTTTATTTAAGCTATACCTTCTGGCAAGCCCTGAGAGCAGATCCTTGCTCCCATTCTGCCCTGACAGCTGTACCTGACGGGGTGGTTTTGTGTGCACCTAGGCAAGAGTAGGATCTGGCATGTCCATACTGATGTTCCTCCCCATTCTCCCCCTCCTTCCATGCCTGTCTCCCCCCCCCCCGGCTGCAGGTCTCCTCCAGCAGATCCCATCCCCTAGAGGTGACGACGTAGAGCATGGGCAGGCAAACTAAAGCCCAGGGACTGAATCCGGCCCAATCGCCTTCTAAATCCAGCCTGTGGACGGTCCAGGAATCAGTGTGTTTTTACATGAGTAGAACGTGTCCTTTTATTTAAAATGCATCTCTGGGTTATTTGTGGGGCCTGCCTGGTGTTTTTACATGAGTAGAATGTGTCCTTTTATTTAAAATGCATCTCTGGGTTATTAGTGGGGCATAGGAATTCGTTCATTTTTCCCCTTCAAAATATAGTCTGGCCCATCACATGATCTGAGGGACAGTGGACCGGCCTCCTGCTGAAAAGGTTTGCTGACCCCTGATGAAGAACCTAGTATCTCTTGCAAAGGAAGCAACCAGAGCAGTGAGCTGACCCTCCAATCACCCCTGCTAAGGCTCTTCTGAAACCTCAGTAAATACATCTACATTGAAATAACTTGCTATACAGTCATACCTCGGGTTGAAAATGTGCTTTGGGATGAGCTCATCCGAGTTGCACTCCGCGGCAACCCGGAAGTAACAGAGCACGTTACTTCCGGGTTTTGCCGCTTGCGCATACTCAGACGCTCAAAATGACGTCACACCATGCGCAGAAGCGCCGAAACGTGACCTGCACACGCGCAGACACGGATTATGTTTGCTTCTAGATGTGAACGGGGCTCCAGAACGGATCCCGTTCGCATCTAGAGGTACCACTGTATACAGATTCAGCCATTTCCCCAGCGTCTTTTGCCATCCAGATTTTTAACCCAGGTACTTCTAGGTACTTCTATATCTTGGTTTCACTGTGTTTGCCATATCCTGCTACATGCCACATTCTTATTAACCATTCATTCTTTATATTATCTTCGTATGATCTACCTCAAGTATCACCTCTCCCCTTATGAACCAACCCAGACCCTGAAATCATCATCTGAGCCATAGAGTGACAACACAAGAACAAGGCCTTTTCTGCAGTGGCTCCCCAGCTGTGGAATGCTCTCCCCAGATAGCATTATTACCTATCTTTAAGTGGCAGGCAAAAACTTTCCTCTATAACCAGGCCTTTGGCCTTTTAATCTGTGGCCTTTTAACTGTGTTTGTGGGAGGGGGTTATTAGTTTGTATTTGTTTTATTATGTATTTTGTGTTCTCATTTTGTATGTTTATGTTGGAAACTGCGCTGTATTATTTGGATGGAGGGTAGTATACAAATTTAATAAGTGAATCATTATCATAATCATCTAATAGACAGAACAGTGCCAAATCCACAGGTTATGATAAACCAAAGCAGTATGAACAGATTATTGTAAACTAAAGCATTTAAATAGTTCTGATACTAGGGAACATAAATTAATTAAATCTAAGAGAGTTTCCTGTCCCTTTTCAAAATGATTACATGAGAACAATGTACAGAAAGTGGTAGAAAGCCTTGCATCTGCTACAGTCAAATTTGTGGTGATTCTGTCACCTCAGCTTTCTGCTAACCTGGATGTTTTCACCGTCAGAATGTCTGCTTTCCTTGTATTGTTTGTCCAATTGTATTATGCTGTTGGGATTTAGAAATTTAACGAAGATTTAAAACACAAGATGTTCCTGTGATAAATATTCCTGAAGTTGGTCATGTGGACAGCATGAAGATCGCTATCTACGAGACTTGTGGGGGAAAATAATAATAATACTTGTCCCAGGAGGCAACGTTTTATGTAATTTTCTAGGTTTGAGCAGGTGATTTGGGAGTAATAATAAGCAGCAGCTGTGGGGAGACTTGCTCATATTCTGTTACAATAACTCTTTTGACTTGCTTTGCCAAAACAAGTACAATCCAGCAGTGAGACCGAGGACGACACTTGCACTTTTCACCGTGTTCTTTCTACTTGTAAAGCCAGAATTGGGTTTTTTTGGGGAGACAATACTCATATTATGGAACAATGCGCTCAAAGAAGCCTACCAAAGTCTCACTACTTGCTTACCGCCAACTGCTGAAACTATTTTTCATTTGCTGATGGTTTTAGGACATATTTGTGTTTCGAGTGTTATTAAGGCTTCGTTTGAATTGCTTTTTTTAAAAAGATGTCATTGTATGTTCTGGTCTTTATATGGAAATACCTGGGGTCAGACTAAGACTAAGACTGAAGGAAGGATGTGGAATCTGGTGCAATGCATCTGTGCAAGGACAAGCCCACAGTTTAGGAAGGTCTCTCTGGGTCAGGCAGAAGAGATGAAGCAAACAGGAGCCATGACAAGGTAACCCTGCTCCTCTGCCCATTCTATACCTCCTGTTGCTCCTGCCTTTATCTTATCTCCTGGGTAACAGGTAAAGGACCCCTGGACGGTTAAATCCAGTCGAAGGCGACTGGTACTCAAAGGTGTAAAGGTACTCCTGACCGTTAAGTCCAGTAGTGGATGACGCTGGGGTTGCGGCACTCATCTCACTTTCAGGCCAAGGGAGCCGGCATTTGTCCACTGACAGCTTTCCGGGTCATGTGGCCAGCAGGACTAAACTGCTTCTGACGCAATGGGACACTGTGGCGAAAACCAGAGCGCACGAAAACACTGTTTACCTTCCCACTGCAGTGGTACCTATTTATCTAAAAGGTAAAGGTAAAGGTAAAGGTACCCCTGCTCGTACGGGCCAGTCTTGACAGACTCTGGGGTTGTGCGCCCATCTCACTCTATAGGCCGGGGGCCAGCGCTGTCCGAAGAAACTTCCGGGTCACATGGCCAGCGTGACATCACTGCTCTGGCAAGCCAGTGCAGCACATGGAACGCCGTTTACCTTCCCACTGGTAAGCGGTCCCTATTTATCTACTTGCACCCGGGGGTGCTTCGAACTGCTAGGTTGGCAGGCGCTGGGACCGAGCAACGGGAGTGCACCCCGCCACGGGGATTCGAACCGCCGACCTTTCGATCGGCAAGCCCTAGGCACTGAGGCTTTTACCCACAGCGCCACCCGCGTCCCCACCTATTTATCTACATGCACTTTGTTTGCCTATGCCTTCAACTCCCATGATCCCTAGCTAACAGGACCAGTGGTACCTATTTATCTACGTGCACTTTGAAGTGCTTTCGAACTGCTAGGTGAGCAGGAGCTGGGACCGAGCAATGGGAGCTCACCCCGTCACGGGGATTCGAACAGCCGACCTTCCGATCGGCAAGCCCAAGAGGCTCAGTGGTTTACACCACAGTGCCACCTGCGTCCCAGAATATCTCCTAGGTATCAGAAGGTGAAGAAAGAGAGTCTGTGGTGTGGCATGAAGTTTCATTCAGGATCCTGAGTGAGCCAGGCATGTTGCAGCATCCTGCAGGGTCCAAAGTCTCTTCCTCAGATTAACTACTCCCAGGGGAGACTGACTTCTGACAGCTAAGTAAAACAGCTAAGGCCACAACTTTACATGCTTACTTAGGACTAAGTCATATTGTCCATAACACATAGGATCATGCTGGAGGAGAATGAACTGTAAACCAGGAAATCCTTAGTTCAAATCTCACTTTGGCCCGAAATGACAGCCAACATCCCTTAATGTTTGTGGCAAATCCATTTCTCGATAAAATGCCAGGATTTTCAGAATGCCCTGGGCTAAGCACACACTAATTTAACCCAAGACTTATAACAGATTAGCAGGAAAGGGGGAAATCTGGGAGGAAGAATACTAGTATGTCTGTTTGAAAGGAGGGTGATATAAAATAAAGCTCTACATCTACTAAGCTTCATCTGAATCTACATTCTTTCTTATAAAGTAACTGAATGCAACCATTCAGTCTCCATTTCCCCTCTATAATATGGGATAATAAAATTGGCCTATCTTACACAGTTGTAATCATTACAAAGCAAATGTATGCAAACTGCTTTGAGTACTTCTAATATGATAAATGAATAATACTAAGTCTTCAAAATATAAGGTGACTTGGTATTTCATGTATTAATGCCTTCAATCCTGGCAATATTTTATTTAAAAATTAAATGTGCTATTTTCTTTTAAATGCTAGCATTCCTTTAAATAAAGCCCCTTTTGATCTTTAGTGCATCTAATGGTAAGTCCTTTTATACTCATGTTGAACATCTGGGGGAACTTTGTGACTTCAAATAAAACTATCAAACTGAAATATTAGTGATTAAACTCATAGATTTCATGGTCAACCTCTATTACACTAATAATGCATCACGTCCTACTACAAATGAAGCAAATATTCTAGTTTTCCTCTGTCACACACTGGTCCAAAGGGTTGGGAAATATTTCGCGGTCAATTTACAATCAACAAGTGCGTATGATTAAAGTGTATATTTCTGAAAATCAGGAATAGGGCAATTATTCTGCTTTAAAAGTGGTTTTATATAATTAATGCATTTTCCAGGAAGAAAGAATCAAGAAAGCATATAAAGAAATAAATGCTTTGTTATTTTGTTTCTGCATGGAGGTTTTCAAAGTTGTCACCCACTTTATATTATTGCTGTGTTTTAAGATGTGCGCACAGATCATGCTTACGAATCTCCAGAAGGCATTTTGGTCCAGGCAGTACTCCACCTTGTGGCTAACTTAGCAATAGCAGAAGGCTAGATAGAGAAGATTTATGTGGCACCTTCGCTGGTTTATGGACAAGCAAGGCCATTATGGACCACCCAGACCACAACACAGCACTCTTTGCAAAGGAAAGGGATAATGAAGCTATCATTGCTTCCTTGCTCAAAGTCCACTTCACAAGACTGCATTAGCAATCTGATATGCGTTACAGAAGGCTGGTTTGCCTCTAAAGCTAAAGTTTAAACATGGGGTCACCAACCCGATGGCTACAGGTGCAAAGCACCCCTGGCAGAGGCACCAGACTCTGACCTTCCTTTAAAAAGGGGGCAAGGGCTAAGTCTATAATTATGAAAGGAAAATGTGCAGGTATGCTTCTAAGCCAGGCATAGGCAAACTTGACCCCCCAGATGTTTTGGGACTACAACTCCCATGATCCCTAGCTAACAGGAGCAGTGGTCAGGGATGATGGGAGTGGTAGTTCCAAAACATCTGGCGGGCCAAGTTTGCCTATGCCTGCCCTAGAAGTTCTTTTCTGAAAATTCTGCTACACAGTAAGTGTTTCTGGCAAGCGAGCCCAGAATGTATGGAGGTACATGCTAACCTCATCATCCACACAGATTAGGAGTTGCTCCTTTGCATTTTGTGAAGGAATCAGAAGACCGCTTGACCCTGAATTCACTGCTCATCGTACCCAACAATCAACACTTCAGCATTTGGCTGCGTATAATTAGTGCAGAGCCAACTTGTGAGATAGATTGGGGGAAGGGGGGGTGTTCCATGCATCAGGATGTTGGAGGGGGTGACATTCGGCGCCCCACCAACCCACAACTCCCAAGCCTACCCCGAGCCGTCGGGGTAAGGGGAGGAGCTGTGCCTTCAATTCCCTCCTTCATTTTGACAGTTTGGGGGAGGCTTGGGAGTTGCGGCTCGCTCCGCCCCCAGCTGCAGTTCACGTGCACCGCTCTGGGTGCCAGAGCGGCTAGCTCAGGCCTGGGAGGGCACCCTCCGCACCACGCCCGCCGCGGGAGCGCGCCCGCCCTGGGCAGCGCGGTCTAAATACTCCACCACTGCCTCCTTCCCCTCCACAGCTGGAGCAAGAGGAGATGGAGACAGGCACTGAAGTCAAGCTGTGCTCAGCTTCATGCTGGCCCCAGTTTGTTTGTCTTTTAATATTGGGGGGGGGAGCTGAAACAGACAAGAGGGAGATAGGATTCTATGCTGCCACTCATTTTGAGAGCAGCTTCCGACCCAGTCTTTTGCCGAGGCTTTCATTCTATCAAGTGTTGGCCCTAATTCAAACCTATGGCTTAGGCAAGGGGAAGTCAACATGGTGTCCTCCATAGTGTGTGGGGTTATAACTCTCATAAGCCCCAAGCAGTGTGTCCAAAGATCCAGGATGCCAAGCTGAAGACCCAACAACATCCAGAGGAGGCCATCTTGGCTCCCCATGGCTGAGGGTATATACAGAAAATATTGTTTGATCTCCCGTTTGAAAAAGACAACCCTGTATTTCATTAAAGCAAGGGAGGTAAAGGTAAAGGTAAATTTAAAGAGACCCCTGACAGTTAAGTCCAGTCATGAACAACTCTGGGGTTGCGGTGCTCATCTCGCTTTACTGGCCGAGGGAGCCGATGTTTGTTCGCAGACAGTTTTTCCGGGTCATGTGGCCAGCAGGACTAAGCTGCCTCTGGTGAACCAGAGCAGCGCACGGAAATGCCGTTTACCTTCCCGCCGGAGCGGTACCTATTTATCTACTTGCACTTTTGGGCGTGCTTTTGAACTGCTAGGTTGGCAGGAGCAGGGACCGAGCAACAGGAGCTCACTCCATGCGCGGGGATTTGAACCGCCGACCTTCTGATCAGCCAGCCAAGAGGCTCAGTGGTTTAACCCTCAGCGCCACCCGCAAGGAAAGCAAGGGAAGGCTTCAGCAAAAACTGAAAATTTTATCTAGGTTTAAATCCTCAGACAAAACATTTTAGTACTCCTCAGCAAAGAAACATTCTGAATTTAATGTTTTAGAAGTAGATGGTGGATTTGGTTTAGAGCAGAAAAACATCCCCTCCTGCAACAAATAATTTTTACACTGTCCCTTGGACTTCCCAGCTAAAAGTTATAATGTCCATGATCCAAAAGAGCACACAGGAACCATCTGTGAACACACCTGGACTTTTTGGACTTTTTTCCCCTCTGAGTTTCCGCCACAGAACTTCTCCTGCTGCATTTTAAGCACCCTGGAGTTTAAAAATCTGTTTTGGGGATTGGAATGAAAATGGTTTTAAAACTGACAATAGGGGGTGTGGATAGCTCATAATCATTTGTGGGATTTTTTTTTTAAGTGGCTCCCTAGCAAAAGTGCCCCCAGCAAACCTGCTCTTTAAAGTAAAGGGAGTTTAAAATGAGATTTGGCAGCACCTCAAGTTTTTGAAACTCCAGCAAGCATGTTACCAGCTCTGCTCATGTGCACAAGAAGTGTGCAGTGCTAGCCTGTTATTAAATTCTGTTGGCTGCATACTAGATTGTCTGCAAAGGAGTTTTCTTGGTGTCAGTTCTTAACTTTTTTACTACCTGCCACAACCCACACAGCGCCAGGGAATCTGGAGCGTGAAACCAACTGTAACTGGCAACTGGCCTCGCAGAAAACAACAGAAGCCAGAGTTAAAATTGCTTTATTAATATTAGTCAAGCAATAGGTGTCAGATTTTATAACCTGGCTAGGAACATTTAATACAACACTGGTTTGCGATGTATTAATGAATTTGTTTTATGACACAACTGAGAGAATGTGCAGGTCTAGGTCTTCTTCTACATTATGGTCTGGAGGGGAATGAAACCATGGAAAAAGTTTTAGGTTAAGAGGAGACCGTGAAGGAACAGTTCCCACGCCCAGTTGTGCCAGAGCTAGCACAGGTCCCCACGCGATACATGTTCAGTGTCCTACATTGTGTGCCATGAACAATGAGGCCTCACTCCAGGGAGCACAAGGAAGGCAAACCATACCAAATATGGTTTTAAAAGCCTCAGATCCACTTTTAGAAGTTACCTTTTGATGACCTTTTGTGCTTTTTGCTATTACACGAGAAAAATTATGTCCCGTTGCATGTTTCCTTGTTTGTGTCGACAGCCAGGAAATTAAGAGCCAAGTGTGTGGTTCAACTCTGAATGCCTTTTTATGTTTGCTATGCTTACAGCTACGCAAGTGAAATTATTACTGTACTGCACAAGTCTTCACACTGAATATTTTAGCAGTTTTTAAAAAATATTTTATATATTTGGTATTTTATATTTTGTTAGATTATTTTGAACTTGAGGTTTTGTAGCACCAAACGGCTAACTGCAAATTTTGAAGATGGGTGGAGGACTTAATTCTGAGAAACCCATGCTGTATCTTAGTAATCATCACAGCATCCTTTTTTAAGTGCTCACAGACCGACTATTGAATTATCTGTTCTAGGACCTTGCCTCGTATCGATGTCAAGCTCAACGGTCGGTAGTTATGAAATGAAACTAAACTACTTTGTTACCAAAGACCAACAAATATAAAGTGTTAGGTATGCAAATCAGCCAACCATTCTGTTTAGAGTAGAAGCTGCAGTGGGAAAGGGAAAGAAGTTCAGTGATGGGCGAATCTGCCCGTTTTCTGTTTCTCTCAGTTTCTCATTTTTCCAATCTTAAATTCACTTCTTCACATTTCCACATCAGTTTGAGAATCATGAAAACCAGCAGCATTTTAATGCTAATTTCTCCTAACATGCTTGTTTACAAGGTTCTGTAAGGCATTTTCTATAATATAGTGCATTTTTAATTTTGCTTTCACTAATATCTGTGTTTTATGGTATTTTACCATAGTATATTGGAGAAATGTGAACTTCTAAGAAGTTCTCATATTGTTTCCAAATGTGCAAATTGGGTCTGAATCGAATTTCTTTCCCATCCCTACAGAAGACTAACAGGGCCATAAGAAGAAGGGTGCTTTCTAAGAACAGTCTTGCTGCCTTTAGGCCATCTGCTTCGCAGCAGTTATGCAAGGGTGCAATTTCCCCATTAGACAGAACTACTATTCAAATGAAGATTTTGGAGTTTTACATACCGGTGGACAAATCTTATTGCACTCCTTCTCAAGGCATTCTGTAATCCGAAGCCCGGTAACAGCATCTTCCATATCTGTGCAAGAACATTCTGTGCAGCCTTCCTCCCAAATCTTCCCAATAGGATAGACAACATTTTGATGGACGCAAACCTGCCAATAATTAAAACATGACACTTACTTCACAGAAAACTGCACACCAAGTGTTCTCATAGGATTTTGCTGGGTTGCAAGGAAAACGAGAATTCCTCTGCGTGTTCAGACCTTTTAACCTCCCCCTTAAATAAATTCAGACAAGACTCAAATCTTGGTTTGGTTTTTGGCAGAATTTAGGCCACAACTTTATTGATTACAGCAAGTGACTGGTTGCATAGGCTCTGCTTAGACTAGCTCCCTGCACCGTTGCAGGTAGCGCTGACCCAGGGCACCAGCATAGGTCAGCCAAGGGTGAACACGTGGATAAGCAGAAAGCCGGAACAGGCTATCTCTGCCACCCAAATGTCCCCCTGGACTCAGGCACGGGCTCAACCCCCTCTCAGGGGTTGACCAAACCATTGAGTCCCTGGATTCCTTTAACAGAATACCCTTTACATAGGGATGGCAAGACCATTCTCCCATCCCTATCACCTCAACCAGTGCCTATCCGCAACCTAAGAAGTTGTGATGATTTGCTACACGGCAGGTGAAACCCAAATGGCAACAGCCAATCAGCCAAGTGGGGGAAATTCCTGCCGTGCCCCTGTCCCAATAACAGACGACACACGACGGCATGGCAAGGTCAAGTGCACAGCCCTAAATATAGGGAGAGGTGGGTGGGTGTTCCGATGCACGAGCCGAAAGAGAAAGCTCTGGGTCATGTGCATAGGTATATATAGGTCCCTTGATCCGTTTGGGCTGCATCCCATTGGCCTGATTAAACCCAGCATCAAGGGACCTACCAACTGGGTGTTGTGGCTATCCAATCGTACCCACCCACAACACAGGGTTTGGTTGCCAGGTCTCACCGCAACACGTGCCCTCTTTAAGGGAGGACCTGATTTATCAGGTGGACAAGCTTTCTTGTATGACAACAGGCATATCAGTTTGTTCACCGTTGCTAACATCCCTCACAATGTGTAGTTGTGGAAGCTTTGACTTTGTTTTCAGGGCACACTCTCAGTTAATCCTCCTTATGCTGATGCAGATACAGTGGGTCCCAGCAACTGTTTTATATATTTGCAAAACATTTTAGCAAACTTAAACCACTTCAGCAAGAAGCTTGCACAACAAATCTGGTCCCCCAAAACACCATATTTTTTCTGATATGGGGCGTGAGATAGAGAAATGCACTGGAAAGTGTGGAATGACACTTGCTTTCATGAAATGTCATCTAATCTCCCTGCAAAAAAATCAGAATGAATGCTCAATAAACGGATTGTCTGGAAGCACCTACAATCTGCTATCAGTTTTCTTAAATAATTCTGATTTCAGTACATCTTGCTTTGTATTTTTTTGTTTCGTGTTTTGCATTTATTGTGTGTTATGTATTTTAGCAATCCCCAGAGCTGTTCTGAATTCTTTTACAAAGAAACTTAGGATAGGATTCAAAAACAAACATTGACATTTAGCATGCCAGAGTTTGCCTTCCATAACAACCTGTGCCGGATTTACGTATAAGCTAAACAAGCTATAGTTTAGGGCTCCAATCACTTTTGGGGCCCCCAAAAAACTTAAGGGAAAAAAACCCCTGGATGTACATTTCCAAAATATAAGATAAAAAACAAATAAAATAAAATCTACATACAACAACAGTGTTTTGTGTTGTGTAGGCTCCTATGGTGTGAGTAATGGGCCCCGCCTGCTAGCCTGCTCCCTAAAATACCACTTTGATAAAATACATATTTTGTTATGTGCAAGTGGCTTTAGATACCTATTAGGTCCATAAATTAAAGGTAAAGGTACCCCTGCCCGTACGGGCCAGTCTTGCCAGACTCTAGGGTTGTGCGCTCATCTCACTCTATAGGCCGGGAGCCAGCGCTGTCCGCAGACACTTCCGGGTCACGTGGCCAGCGTGACAAGCTGCATCTGGCGAGCACACGGAACGCCGTTTACCTTCCCGCTGGTAAGCGGTCCCTATTTATCTACTTGCACCCGGGGGTGCTTTCGAACTGCTAGGTTGGCAGGCGCTGGGACCGAACGATGGGAGCGCACCCCCCGCCACGGGGATTCGAACCGCCGACCATGCGATCGGCAAGCCCTAGGCGCTGAGGTTTTACCCACAGCGCCACCCGCGTCCCTGGTCCATAAATTACCATATAGTATATATTCAACACAAATAAACAGCGACAATTTGTTGTTGACAAAGGACAGCTGGACATATAAAGGGCCCCATTACCTTCAGTAGCTTAGGGCCTCATCAAACCTAAATCCAGCCCTGATAACAACCATCTCCTTTTGATGTTATCCTCCCATTCTGATGGAGCCCTATGCATTACACCCCTATTGCAAAATGATACAATGTTCAGATAACAGCTGGATTTGGGTTGGATACACCAGAGCTGGAGGAAGATGGGAGAGGGAGGCACAATTCCAGCCCCTGACTTGCACTTCATGGGCAGGTAGGATAATTCATTATTTTGAATTGAGTGGTGCATGCTCTGGTTATCTCCCGCTTGGACTACTGCAATGTGCTCTGTGTGGGGCTACCTTTGAAGGTCACCCAGAAACTACAACTAATCCAGAACGCGGCAGCCAGACTGGTGACTGGGAGCGGCCGCCCAGACCATATAGCACCAGTCTTGAAAGACCTACAGTATGTTTCTGAGCACAATTCAAAGTGTTGGTGCTGACCTTTAAAGCCCTAAATGGCCTTGGTCCAGTATATCTGAAGGAGCGTCTCCACCCCCATCGTTCTACCCGGACACTGAGGTCCAGCACTGAGGGCCTTCTGGCGGTTCCCTCACTGCGAGAAGCCAAGTTACAGAGTACCAGGCAGAGGGCCTTCTTGGTAGTGGCGCCCTCCCTGTGGAACGCCCTCCCACCAGATGTCAAAGAGAACAACAACTACAAGACTTTTAGAAGGCATCTGAAGGCAGCCCTGTTTAGGGAAGCTTTTAATGTTTGATGCATTACAGTATTTTAATGTTTTTTGGGAAGCCGCCCAGAGTGGCTGGGGAGGCCCAGCCAGATGGGTGGGGTATAAATACAGTGGTGCCTCGCAAGACGAAATTAATTCGTTCCGCGAGTTTTGTCGTCTTGCGATTTTTTTCGTCTTGCGAAGCACGGTGTCGGAAAAGTTTTGGAAAAGCTTCAAAAATCACCAAAGTCTTCAAAAACCTCAAAAAAGGCTACCACACCGCGTGCTCCTCGAAGTCAAGTCGCAACTGTATTAACGGTGTTAAGAAAAAGGAAACAAACTTGCAAGACGTTTCCGTCTTGCGAAGCAAGCCCATAGGGAAAATCGTCTTGCGAAGCAGCTCAAAAAACAAAAAACCCTTTCGTCTTGCGAGTTTTCCGTCTTGCGAGGCATTCGTCTTGTGAGGTACCACTGTAATAAATTATTATTATTATTATTATTACCTTGTCGGGGTTGCAGGTGGTAGATGTGCAGCCACAGTCGTTAGTGAGAGTTGTTGATAAGTATCCAGCAGGGCAGGCCACTGTTGAATTGACACAGTCACAAGTACACTGAAATTCATCACAACACTGAGTCTTCTTAATAGTCAGCTTCCTGTGAGGTGGGCAGGGAGCAATTGGCTGTGGGTTGCAATCCTCTTTTTTGCACACTAAGAAACAAAAAACCCAGAAACAAATAAGGCTATGCAACAAGCAAGCTGCAAAAGGAGCATTTGTATGCTGCCCAAAAGCTAATGTTCTCAGAGCAGTGAATACAATGTGAAAACAGTAATTAATTTAATTAATTTATTAAGAAACAAGCAAAAACAAATAATTGTATTATTTTTTTAAAAAACCCAGAACCACCAGCACCACTCAAGATAAACACCACAAAAAGAAATCAAGTACGTGGAGCTCACAGAGCACATCTCCTATGCTCATACATACACATAAACACACAAACATGCACCAGAAAGAATTGCATAAGTAAGTAAAACCAGTATTTGATGTTTCAAAGGAATTTTACCACATGCATAATCTGGCCTGCATTTTCCAGGATTCGTCTGCAAAAGCTGGAGACCATCTTCACAATGAGGTACAGCAGGCATTTTGCAACTGACCAGGTCGCAGACTGAAAACAGAAAACAGAAAATGGAAGGAATCAAGCGTTATGCATTTTCAGAGCCAATCCCAATCCCCACAGAGTTTGGATAACCCTGATGTTCCCCAGATCCCCGGCTGGGGTCTGGGAGGGATAAAGGCCCAATGCCTGAGCCAAGGTCTTCCTACATCTGAGAATTTAATAAACTTGTGGCCAACTTTAATCCCATAACACGTTGTCAGGTGTCATTATTCCTCCCAAGGGTCGCCTGGGGTCGGGGGAGTCTCCGCCTGGCCACACAATTTTATTATTTATACCCCACATATCTTACTGGGTTGCCCCAGTACTCCAGGCAGCTTCCAACATATATAAAAACACAATAAACATTCGGAAAAAAACCTTCCCTACACAGGCTTGCCTTCAGGTGGCTTGGGGGTTGGATAACTCCATACCCTCCCACATTTCTCCAATGAAAATAAGGAAAAGCGGGAAATTCCAGTGTTATGTACTGAGTTGAATAGGATCCAAATGCAGCAGTCTGATTGGTCCTAGAACAATGCATCAGTATGATTGGTCCGCAGGAGCCACCCAATCCAGCTTCAGGTGGAAGTGAATCCACAACCTGATTGGCCTACAGGAGAATCCAGGAATTAGCCAATCACGTGCGGCCCATTGTGTAAATAATGTATATAAAGCAGATATTTTGGGGGAACTTTCATTCCTCACTACTATGAGCCGGATAAAGAGCATGAAATCCACACTCGACTCCGAGTATATTTCATCCCGGATCAAATCAGAAAGCGGGATGGCTTCTCTCAATCAAGGCCGTCCCTGGAAAATAGGGACACTTGGAGGCTCTGTGCATACGACCTCCCCCAGAGACTCACCGCATTCGTAGAACGGGCAACACTGCTCAGAATCCCTTCGTAATCTTGGAATTTCACAGGAACCACAAGCAGGAGCTACAAGAGGGAAACAATAACCCACATCCATTAATACTCAAAGCAAGAACAGCCAAACTTTCCCTCAAGGGCCACTCTCCTCTACAGACACAAACCTGGAGGCCAGAATTGCGGTATATTTCTCATAGATGGCCAGGCCCTATATATATACAGTGTTCCCCCCCCCCCGCCGCCCGGGATCGGGGCATCGTCCCGATGGCGGGCGGCGGGGGAGGCGTTCCACCCATCCCAACATCCCCAGGGGCATATGGGCTCATTTTCACATCTTCATGTGTTTAACACAAAGGTCTGCACTCATGTTTTAAGTGTGCTTTACAGGATGCATGTAGAAGGCAGGTCCATGGGGTGGAAGCGCAGGTAATGTCTGACCGACAGCTTAATCCGTGAAAAAGCAGGGAAGTTTTAGACGGTAAAGGAAGTGTTATGTCTTTTTTGAAGGGTGGGAATTCTTGACTTACGCTGGGGGGTTGGACAAGGCTGAATGGCACAGCTGATGGTCCTATTTTCTAGACACATGCAGATCTTGCAGGGTTCATTGGAAGGAATCCACGTTTCCAAGTGCTATGTGTTTGAAGAAGAGAAATTGTCTGATTATTTGTTATGCAATCTGGTTGGGGGGGGAGAGAGGGAGAGAAGAGAGAGAGAGGGAGAGCTACCCAGAAAATAAAGCAAAACAGAATACTACATATGGTATTGCTTTGGTTTGTTAGAATAATTACAAGAAACCAGAGATGTTGCCCAATTTAACATTAGGGCTAATACATTTAGCACAAGATGCAAAGAACGAATCCGATCTCTGCAATGCCCTTTTCCTGACTTTATGAGCGCAATTATAACATACTAGAGAAAATACAAGGCATTCTGGGGTTCTATAAGTTGAAGAACACATACCAAACATTGGCTGAGTAAGCCGAGTAAAGCTGGACCTTATAAAGTTTCACTAAATGAAATGTTTCAAATTAATCCTATTTTAGGCTGAGAATGTTCCAGATTTCTCGCTACAGCATATGACTATAGTCCTTTTCTATTGGATTCAGCCTGGTAGTAAACAGACCTTGCATCACACATCAAAAAAACCTCAGAGACATTGCTAAAAGACAATAAATAAGTTGGTAGCTGATGAGCAATTGACAGGTGTTCTGCACATGAAGGAAAATGAGGGGAAATACTTAAAAGCCTAGTCTTGGGATTTCAGCCAAAGCATCAGTACATTACCCATGATCAGTGGATCTACATACACACAGAACATGCAGAAATTCATATAAAAGTTAGACAGAGGCAGGAATGGGATGTAAAGGAGGAAAGCGAAGTCCCTGGGGTCACCCAACAAAGTCAACTGACGAGCACAAAAAGACCTACTTCTTCACACAATGCATAATCAACATTAACAGCCACAAGATGCAGTGACTATCACCATTTCTGAGGGCTATAAAATGGATTTAATAAATTATCAAGGAGGATAAGGCTGTGTATATGTTATGTACTGAAGTTCTCACCCTGGGCCAGCAGGGGGGTACTGTAGATAGTTATGCAAATAAGGGATCGAAAGTGACGTTCAGTGATTGGATAGTTACAGAAAATGGTTACTGTTGCGTTCTAGTGGAGCTCTATATATGCAGGCTGACTGAACCCTTCAGTTGAGTTCTGTCCTGGCCTGGCCTGTGAATAAACAAGAGCTGTTTGTAGAATCGCTGTGTTGTCTGATATGTTCACCCACAACTTAACAGTATATTTGTTGTTGTTGTTGTTTAGTCGTTTAGTCGTGTCCGACTCTTCGTGACCCCATGGACCAGAGCACGCCAGGCACTCCTGTCTTCCACTGCCTCCCGCAGTTTGGTCAGACTCATGTTTGTAGCTTCGAGAACACTATCCAACCATCTCATCCTCTGTCGTCCCCTTCTCCTAGTGCCCTCTATCTTTCCCAACATCAGGGTCTTTTCCAGGGAGTCTTCTCTTCTCATGAGGTGGCCAAAGTATTGGAGCCTCAACTTCACGATCTGTCCTTCCAGTGAGCACTCAGGTCTGATTTCCTTAAGAATGGATGCGTTTGATCTTCTTGCAGTCCATGGGACTCTCAAGAGTCTCCTCCAGCACCATAATTAAAAAGCATCAATTCTTTGGCGATCAGCCTTTTTTATGGTCCAGCTCTCACTTCCATACATCACTACTGGGAAAACCATGGCTTTAACTATATGGACCTTTGTTGGTAAGGTGATGTCTCTACTTTTTAAGATGTTGTCTAGATTTGCCATCGCCTTTCTCCCAAGGAGCAGGCGTCTTTTAATTTCGTGACTGCTGTCACCATCTGCAGTGATCATGGAGCCCAAAAAAGTAAAATCTCTCACTGCCTCCATTTCTTCCCCTTCTATTTGCCAGGAGGTGATGGGACCAGTGGCCATGATCTTGGTTTTTTTGATGTTGAGCTTCAGACCATATTTTGCGCTCTCCTCTTTCACCCTCATTAAAAGGTTCTTTAATTCCTCCTCACTTTCTGCCATCAAGGTTGTGTCATCTGCATATCTGAGGTTGTTGATATTTCTACTATACCTTTAAAGCACAAAGGATCTTGGGCACTGTAGTTTACCCCTCACAGAGTTATGGTTCCCAGCAACCCTTAACAAACTACAGTGCCCAGAATTCTCTGAGGGAAAGAAGGTGCTTCGACTGAGCTTTAAGTGAATACACAGCATTGGAAAACCAAAATCTATAATTCATTACGGTTAAGTGCACCATTTTTTCCCCCACAGCCAATAATAATAATAATAATAAATTTTATTTATATCCCGCCCTCCCCAGCCTTAGCCGGGCTCAGGGCGGCTAACAACAATAAAACAGTACAAAAGTACAGCATAAACAACACTCTAAAATCATTCATTCTAAAATTAATTAATTCAAGCCACTGGCAGCCATTGGGCCAGAGCTCCGTGAAGATTGCCGAAGGAGGGAGTCAGGCTGTGCCCTTGCCAAAGGCCTGGTGGAACAGCTCTGTCTTGCAGGCCCTGCGGAAAGATGTCAAGTCCCGCAGGGCCCTGGTCTCTTGTGACAGAGTGTTCCACCAGATCGGAGCCACAGCCGAAAAGGCCCTGGCTCTCGTTGAGGCCAGCCTAACTTCTCTGTGGCCTGGGACCTTCAGGATGTTTTTGTTTGAAGACCGTAAGTTTCCTCTGTGGGACATACCAGGAGAGGCGGTCCCGTAGGTACGAGGGTCCTAGGCTGTATAGGGCTTTAAAGGTTAAAACCAGCACCTTAAACCTGATCCTGTACTCCACCGGGAGCCAGTGCAGCTGGTATAGCACCGGGTGAATGTGATCTGAAAACCCAACATTGCATCTCTCTGAAAACCCAACATTGCAGATAGGGAAGAGCCATTGCCTTAAAGCCCTGCTTAAAAGCTTTCCAGAGGCATTCAGTCAGCTGTCGCCAACAGAAGCAAGACAAAGTTCAGAAGGTGCAGAATAGCTTATTGATCTGAGTAGCATAAATCTCAACAGTCTCAGTCTCAGTGTATTTTAAGCCAGGAACTCTAAATTGGGGGACTTTGCAAAACGGTAGACTGATACATTGACATCAATAAAACAATATTTTCAATTACTAAATAAATAAGGGCTGAGAAGGGAGTGCGGCATAAACTTTTTGTCTTTGGAAATGGGGAGGCTATGGGGAGGAAATTTGGAGATTTCTGGCGAGGGGGAATTCAGAAAAATGGGATAAGTTTTTTAAAAAGCCTCTGCCATCACTCTTGCCCTCTGCCATCATTCTTGCCATTGTATGTATGCATAATGAAAATTCCCAGAAAGTTCCCCTCTCCATTGCCAAAATGTCTTCCCCCACTTTAATGGCCAACCGAAGGATAATATCAGGGGTCAGCAAGATTTACCTCACCTGGGCTGGTTCACTCCAGCGGAGATCTGTCCGTGGGCTGGAGCGCGCAGACGCGATTTCTGGCACCACAGAAGCAAATCCCTGCGCTGCACCAGTTTAGCGCAGTTCACGGGGACTTGCCAAGTAGGCGGCTTGGTTTGGGGGCAGCCCGAGGGGTGGTTAAATGACCCTTTTGGGCTGTTTGTGGCCCATGGGCCTTAGGTTGCCTACCCCTGGATTAGATGGACTCTGTGGGAATTTCAGGAAGGTCCAAATATAGAGCATCCACCACCTTGGTTAGGAGCTGTTAAAAATGCCCAGGTGAGAAAAGCCTATCCTAGTTCCACCTGTTCTCAGGCTACTTCTTTCTTTCTCACTCCTGGTATTAAGTTACTCCCACTTACCGCTGTGACTAAATCCACTCTAGAACATACACCTACTATATGACAGGGCAGTGGTACTTTTATTAACTATGATCCCAGCGGAAATTCGGCCCACACTGTGGTTACCCCTACCTCCATTGTTGTGGAACTTGAAGTATTACAACAGTATCGTAGGATGAGCCCTTAGAAAAGTGGCTCCCAGTTGTAAGAGCACCATATTTGTCATGCAGCGAAAACCGATGGAGATTTGCTGCAAAGCGATGACGCCCTAACCCTGCTTCCTTTGCAAGGCTGTTAAAAAGTTTGTGTGTATTGCATCACCCTTCTGCTGCTGCTTTTATGTCCTTCGGAGTTTTATGCATATTAACCTTTGTAATGCTGGAGATGGATGCGGGTGGCGCTGTGGTCTAAACCACAGAGCCTAGGGCTTGCCGATCAAAAGGTTGCTGGTTTGGATCTCCACGGCGGGATGAGCTCCCATTGCTCAGTCCCTGCTCCTGCAACCTAGCAGTTCGAAAGCATGTCCAAGTGCAAGTAGATAAATAGGTACCGCTCTGGCGGGAAGGTAAAGGGCGTTTCCGTGCGCTGCTCTGGTTTCCCCAGAAGCAGCTTAGTCATGCTGGCCACGTGACCCGGAAAAACTGTCTGCGGACAAACACTGGCTCCCTCAGCCAGTAAAGTGAGATGAGTGCCTCAACCCCAGAATCATCCGCAACTGGACTTAACTGTCATGGGTCCTTTACCTTTACATTTAATGCTGGAGATCTGGGACAGGACTGGCTGCGGCGAGCCTTATGTCCTTCCTCGTGAGTGGAGAAACTCGGCAGCGGGCGGGGAAAGATTCTATGGCGAGCCAAAACGTTCCTCCCTAAATGGTCAGCACTCATTTATTTTGTCAATAATGTACTTGGAGCAAATTTAATTGCAGTTTTTGCAATTGCAAATTTAATTGCAGTTTCTTCTTCTTGGGATACTCTTAGGGGTTTCTATGCTGTATCTGGGTTTGAAGAAAAGAGAGAGCTCTTAAACCAAGAGGTATAGGAACAAAAGTGTGAGAGCAAATGGAAAGGTGAAGGGTTATGTGTTTTCTTTAGTGGCTATAAATCAAGCGTAGGCAAACTAAGGCCTGGGGGCTGGATGTGGCCCAATCGCCTTCTCAATCCAGTCTGCGGACGGTCTGGGACAGTGGCGTAGCGTGGGTTGTCAGCACCCGGGGCAAGGCAAGTAATTTGCGCCCCCTAACCCGTGGATTCGCGCCCCCTAACCAATGGATTTGCCCTAACCCCAGATGTTGCGGCCGGTGCGGCCGGCCCCCCCTGCACCCCCCACGCTACGCCACTGGTCTGGGAATCAGCGTGTTTTTATATGAGTAGAATGTGCCCTTTTATTTAAAATGCATCTCTGGGGTATTTGTGGGGCCTGCCTGGTATTTTTACACGAGTAGAATGTGTGCTTTTATTTAAAATGCATCTCTGGGTTATTTGTGAGGCATAGGAATTCATTCGTATTTTCTTACAAAATATAGTCCGCCCCCCCCACAAGGTCTGAGGGACAGTGGACCGGCCCCCTGCTGAAAAAGTTTGCTGACCCCTGCTATAAATGATACCCCCAAGGATACAGACGCCATTACACCTGACCTGCCTTTAATTTGGAGGAGGGTTATGATAGTACACATTATTTTAGCAAATGTATTGTTATGCATTGGAGGGAGGGGAAGGGGCAGTTAGGCTGAATGCCCAGGTCCCCTTCTAATTCTTGAAATAGCCAAGCTAGCTTCCTGGTGAGTTAAGGGGAACAAAGTACGTGGCTTTTGTGCCAGATGGCAAATGGGTGGGGCTCCCTCTCTTGACTTTTGGGTGATTAGAAGCACAAAGACAGAACGGAGAGCAGAGAGTTGGAGTAAAATGGATGTCCTTAAGTCAGCTGGAACCTAAGAACGATCTCCCTGGAAAACAACGCTGACTCCTTAAGAGCCAGCCAAGATTCAGAACCGCTAAGCAGTAACTAGAGAGATCTACCTGGTGGCGTGTCCCATCCTCACTGATGCACTGGGTGCATTCTTCTTCGTGAACACACCTGCCATCCATGGTCACTTGTCCCTGTGGGCAGAAACAGCCTTCTGTGGGATAATCCGTGCAGATTTCTGTGTTGGTACCATTCCCACAGTGCTTTATGCAGCCTCCTTGACAGTAGCCATACCTCATCGAGACTGGACATTCAATAGCTGTTAAGAACACCAGACACAAGGAAATAAACGAAATGGTAAGTAAACAAACAAATGAAAATTATTATTTGTCTGCAATAGAGATGCAATACAAAACAAATACAGTCCATCTTAAATCCATCCTGAATGCTTAGACTAGGGTGAGAAAAATCTAAGTTAACTGCAATTCAATTTAATTCAATAAATAAATAAATATTATTAATAATAATTTTATTATTTATACCCCACCCATCTAGCTGGGTTTCCCCAGCCACTCTGGGCGGCTTACAGCATGTATAAAAACATAGTGAAATATCAAGCATTTCCTGACATAGCTGGGAAATGCCAAGAGTGCCATTTCAGATTTCAGTTGGGCACATTGAATGTTAAAATACAGGAGGAGGAGGAGGAGGAGGAGGAGGAGGAGGAGGAGGAGGAGGAGGAGGAGAAGAAGAAGAAGAAGAAGAAGAAGAAGAAGAAGAAGAAGAAGAAGAAGAAGGGCACTTTCTGAAGTCTTTATTGTGGTTACTTTTTGATGCCAACTATAAAAATGTTGTCAGCAGTGGACAGCATGCCATTTTTTCAAGCAAATGGATGTCAGCCTTTGGCACACATGGCTCACATGCAGGCATTTAGAGTGCTCCAGGGGGGGGGGGTTACTATGGAATATGTGCTTCTGGAGCATCCCCATGTCTCACAGCAATTCTTTCAAGCTCAGTCAATACGCATGCTGTAGACTGAGTGCTGGGGATCTTGAGGTAGCAAAGCTGGCTATGTGCAGATGGGAGATGCCATTTCAGAATGCGCTCTCTCTCTCTCTCTCTCTCTCTCTCTCTCTCTCTCTCTCCAGACTCCATTGTGAGTGGAATCCAGAAATCTACAAGGGCTCACAGAACACCCGTTCCACACTTTCTTTCATGGGAGATTGCCATCAAAATCCAACAATGCATATTCTTGCTAGTTTAGGGGCTAACGACTAATAACCTCCTCTATAGTTATCAGTAGCCCTGCCATTGGGAAGTAGGGGGAATGCTAGGTATCCTATTGGATCTGCATCCTGCCCCTCCCTCACTGAAGGCTAATATTAGCTTCAAGAGAGGTAATTTAAATCAGGGAAATGGAATGACAGTCCTCCTAACTCTCTATTTAAAAAAAGCCTATTCTGACCCTTAGCTACACTAATGAAGTACAGTGGTACCTTGGGTTAAGTACTTAATTCGTTCCGGAGGTCCGTACTTAACCTGAAACTGTTCTTAACCTGAGGTACCACTTTAGCTAATGGGGCCTCCTCCTGCTGCTGCCACGCCACTGGAGCACAATTTCTGTTCTCATCCTGAAGCAAAGTTCTTAACCTGAGGTACTATTTCTGGGTTAGCGGAGTCTGTAACCTGAAGCGTATGTAACCTGAAGTACCACTGTAACCTCAATCATTCCCTGTATTGCGCTTTCCTAAAGTAGATTTTGACAGCCTTCAGTGAAGCTGACCAACTGAAGATCTTCTCTTGTTTTTGATGAGAGGGATTTTCTGTGCAGACGTGAACATAAGCAGAGCTTGTTAGAGATCTTATTTACATTAATATTGTGACCTGTATAATGCAATACACTTCAAATCAAATATAGGACCGCAGAACCCTAAAAGTTGCCCTGCTGGATCAGACCAAAGAACAGCCTAGCCCAGAATCCTGCTCTCCCGGGGAGAACAGGGTGCGATGCCTGTGGGAAGCCTGCCAGCAAGACAACAGCCCTTCGCCCAGTTGGGACCCACCTAGGTTTTTTTTGGGGGGGGGAATAAAGAAAAAAATTATTCCCCCACCCCCAGGCGTGGGGCTGGGGCGGGGGAAGCCCCAGAACAGGCTGCTATCCACAAGCCTAGGGAGCCTGGCGGGAAGTCGCGCTGGTCTCCCCAGGCTTGCGGATATCTGCCCAAAGCCCGGCTTCGGGATGCAGGCAGCTCTCCACAAGCCTTGGGAGACTAGTATGACTTCCCACCGGGCTCCCACGGCTTGTGGATATCTGCCCAAAGCCTGGAGAGTGAGAGGGGTCGGTGCGCACCGACCCCTCTCACTCTCCAGGCTTCAGTGAAAGCCTGCATTCGCCCCATAGGACGCACACACATTTCCCCTTCATTTTTGGAGGGGGAAAAGTGCGTCCTATAGGGCAAAAAATATGGTAGCTCAAAGTTAAGAGAAGTGAAATCAATGCATACCAACAAATTTAAAGCACTCAAATTTTGAATGCAGAATTGGCATTTAAAGCAAACTTAAGAGTTCAAAATGGCAAAAGTGGAAATTTGGGCAAAATTCAAATTTTGTGGCACTCCAAGTCAGAGACTGCTCCAAGGTGCCGCAGTTAACTTTGCAGGCTGCACATCACTGTGACAATTCAGAAGTCATCAGACAAACTTTGTCCTCCCTTCTTCTTCTGCCTTTGCATTCTGGCAGAAGGCTGCAAAGGGTCTTTGACATCTCAATCCCTCTCGTGGGATATACTATGCAGGAAAGATTCAAAGACAGGGCCCTTGATCGACCTGTAGTGTATTTAAAATATGTTCGCGTTTGTGCTTGAATGATATTAGTAAAGCAACTGCAGCGGACTTTAATGAAGGTGTTACCCTTGTAGCATCTTAAAACGGGGAAAAATATATATCACAGAGACATCTTTATCGAAAGCCCTGCCAGAAAGTTGGCTTTGTAGCTCCTGAGCCTGGTCTCTCATTTATTTAAGTGACTATTACGAGTCAGCGCAAACATAAGCCAGAACTTTTCCTATCCCACGTATCATTCTTTCATACACTGGACAGGATCATCACCGGCTATTCAAGAATGAAACAAAATTATGTGTAACCCAGGGAGGGTCATGGTAGAAAGTCATTGCTGTCATCATGGTGGCTGCCATTGGCACTGGTGTACCATGAGCTGAGCGCAAGAATCCTGTTACCACCTCCTTTGCATGCAAGAACATTTTGCTTCTCCAAACTCCCCCCAAGTTCTCCTTCCCTTTCCGCCATCATAGCCCAAGCCAACCTAGAAGAAGAAGAGGAGTTTGGATTTGATATCCCACTTTATCACTACCCTAGGGAGTCTCAAAGCGGCTAACAATCTCCTTTCCCTTCCTCCCCCACAACAAACACTCTGTGGGGTGAGTGGGGCTGAGAGACTTCAAAGAAATGTGACTAGCCCAAGGTCACCCAGCAGCTGCATGTGGAGGAGCGGAGAAGCGAACCCGGTTCCCCAGATTATGAGTCTACCCCTCTTAACCACTACACCACACTAGCTCTCAGAGCAGTCACTGGAAAAGGGTGACGTAACATCATGTCGTGTCACACATTTGTCAACTACGTACATATTACAGGTAAGGGAAAGGGACCCCTGGACAGTTAAGTCCAGTCAGAGGTGACTATGGGGTTGCGGCGCTCATCTCGCTTTCAGGCCAAGGGAGCTGGCATTTGTCCACAGACAGCTTTCCGGGTCATGTGGCCAGCATGACTAAACAGCTTCTGGCGCAACAGAACACCACGACGGAAACCAGAATGCACGGAAACACCATTTACCTTACAGCTGCAATGGTACCTATTTATCTACTTGCACTGGCGTGCTTTTGAGCTGCTTTTGGCAAGAGCGGGGATAGAGCAACGGGAGCTCACCTAGTCAACCACCGACCTTCTGATCAGCAAGCCCAAGGGCCTCAGTGGTTTAGACCACAGCGCCACCCGAGTCCCTACAGGTAGGATTATCTCACCCCATAGCATATACAATTTGGACCTTATGAAAGCTGTGCCTTTGGGGTCGGGTGGCAGGTGGACTGTAAATGTATTCCCTGGCTATTTCTTGTCGCAGGCATGCATTGCTCATTCACATCCATTACTACGGGTAACTAGCCAAGGATTAATTTATTTTTAGTTTTACAATGCCCTGTCCTTTCCACAGACAGTGAGGTCATGTTCAGAAATGAGAACGTTTTCCTAAACACCATCAGCATCCATCTGCAAGTTGTTCGTTGCAAGGCGTGATGCTCATAGGTTACATCATACCTTTGTGTTTACTTAATTGCGCAGCAACGTTGCTTTCTTTTTAGCTCTAGATGTGGTCCTTAAAATACGTTCATGGCTATAAAAGTCGGAGGTAGTATTTGTAACGCTTGCATCAAAATGGAGACATAAAGCCTCTCATGTGGGGCTTTCCTTCTGCTTGATCCAGAAGATGCAGTTGGTGCAGACTGCTGCAGCACAATTGCTGACAGGAGTGAGGCCTTGTCAGTATATAAGACCCCTGCTCAGAGATCTGCACTGCTTGCACATTTGCTGCCGGGCCAAGTTCAAAGTGTTACTATTTGCATAGAAAATTCATCGAACCAGTTTACCTAACATCTCGCCTTGCGCCACATGTGCCCACTGGACCGCTTCAGTCGGCAGAATTGGAACTGCCACAGATGCCACACAATACCCGTTTTCTGCATTTGTAAAAACTTGATCATTTTGTGTGGCAGCGCCTACAACTTTGGAACTCCCTGCCAATTGAGATGAAGCAGGTGCCTTCACTCTACTCTTTTCGGCACCTGCTTAAAACATTCCGGTTTAGACAAGCCTTCCCAGATGTTTAGAAAGTTGAAGTAATTTTTATCTTTATTATGTTTTAAAGTAGGTTTGTGATTTTTTCTTTATTTTATTTCATTATCAAAATGTAAACTGCTTTGAGGTTTTATTTTATTTGATGAAATAAACAAAAGTTTAAACAAAATTATATTAAAAGTAATAGTATTACTATTACAGTGAGCTGTTCAGATATATCAATCTGTTTAGAAAACAAAATTATGAACAGTGGGCGAGAGATTCCCCTCCCTCCACAAATATTGTAACTCAGTGTCAACCAATGAAACTGACTGACGATAGATTTAGCATGACATAACTATTTCCCAACACAATGCACACTTAACTTAGCTTAACTTATCAATTCACTATAAGACTAATCAATTTTATATTCATTTATAAAAGTTGTAGACTGCTTTTCACTTCAGATGTGGTC